TGTTGGATCTTGGCAGGACAGTTTTACAAAAACACAAAAAGACCTGATTTAGTCTAAGTGTCTGATTTATCCTTTAATGGCTGAGAGACGAGAAGCCCTGAAGCATCTTTGGATGTTAAGTTGTGCATTTCTAAATTATATATTTAAAAAAAAAAATCTGCTTTGTCACTTGAAAACATTGACAAAAACTACAAATCTTAAGTAATTAGGATGCAGCACGTTCTTCTCGTCACATTAGCTCACTCACACAACCAGTGAAGACTTATTCATTTCAAATCCAAGTAAGATTCTGTGACACTGAAACAGTTTTAAGACAAAGTTTGGCTTAAGAAAGGCAACATTATATAATCTCTTAAATAAAACTGAAGGGCTGATCAGCATTTTCTGCAGTGCTCTGTGTGATTAGCTGATTGATCACAAACGTCAAACAAAGAGCAACAAAAGCTACTACAGTGAAGCCTCAAGTATTTATTTGAAATGTTTTTACAAGGGAGCACTGATTCATCAGTACGATGTCTTTACTAAAAGTTCAGTAGCTTTTACTCTGCTGGTTTACAGCGAAACCTTTTTCAGCAACGCGCTCATCAGTTCAAACATCTACCATTGTTGCATTGAAGCTGATTCAAGTGGTGCTTTTAAAAAGGCTGTTCAAAGTTTTAGTGTTTCTGCAGCAAAGATTTCAACTGAGGTCCCGTTACAAATAAAAACAAAGAACATTTTTATGACAAATGTTTATTTTACCTGACTGAACACTTTGCAAAAAGAATAAAGAGAAACTTTTCTATACATGTGGGTGCATGATAAATGACCCCCCAGTTCTAGCTTCATGAAGTTCTATTTTTATTTACTGAGACAAAAATCTTTTGACTTTTGAGCTGCAGCTTCATCGCTTTCAGAAAACTATTCGAGGCCCAGCAAGTACTGCTACAAAAAGGTAAATGTACTTATACATCACCTTTTTATCTGATCAAGATACTCAAAGCTCTTTACACAACAATCTGTGCCCTCATTTACCCATTCATGCAGCACTCTACTAGATCTATACAAAGACTAATCAGAGCTTTATCACATTCATACCCGATGGGACACACATCGGAGACAACGAGGGGTTCAGTGTCTTGCCCAGGGACACTTCAGCATGTGACTGCTGGTGGAATCGAACCCCCAACTCTTGCAGTGGAGGACGACTGCTCTAACCACTCAGCCACAGCCGCCCAAAATCAAACAAGAGAAGCGTGTGCGCCTCTGCGGAGACAACGGGAGCTACCTGACCACGCTGAACTTGAGGCTGTAGTTGCCGCCGCTCTGAATGATGGGAGGATAACACATCTCCACCGTGGACGGGTCAGCACCGCCCAGGTACTTCTTCTCCTCGATGGCCTTCTCCACCGACTCGGCCAGTTTGCTGTGACGCACTTTCTGTGGGGGAGAATCAAAACGACAGACGTTGGTCTCTGAAAGGACGGTTTCAGTATTTATGACACAAACGGAGAACTTCAAACACGTGGGAGCAGCACTGAAGGCTCCTGTCACTTTTACAACATTTTACTGAATGGAAGAACAAACTTGTGACAAAACTCTCAAAGCACTGCTTAGAAACAGAGTCTGTAAACACGCTCAGCTTTACATGTTTAAAGTGTATTATGACAGATTAAATGTAGGGATGGGGCCGATCCGATCCAGTATCGGCCTCTGATACCAGCATAATTTACCTATCGGGTTTTTCCGATCCACCTGCCGATATTTCTGATCCACGATCCATGTTGGTTTCAAACTATGGGATGGATTTCCTGAACGGCGGCGTGTCTCATGAACCCAGAGTAATAAGACCCGCCTCACATTCAGGAAATCCATTTCATAGTTTGCAGCCTGCTACAACGTGAGAGCTGAGTTAGCATCACTGTGGCTAACAGCTAACCAACTTTTCATCTAAACATGTCCGCTGTGTGGAAGTATTTTACACTAGAAACATCACAAAGCTTGACAGCAACATGCAATGTCTGCAGAGCCATAGCGCCACATTAAACCGCGGTAAAGTTAGTTTTACGATGGACATTCGAGCTCCGTGTCTTCAGCGAGGCGCTGCTCTTTGCTCAACCTACAACAGGCGACTCGACCCCGCCAGCCGCGTCCAATCTGCCCCGCTCAGTCTGCCCGTCTCTGAGGAGGGACACACTGAGACTTTGGCTGCACCAAATCAGACTGCCTGCTTCGGACTGAACAAGAAGAAGACATCGCTGAAACCACGGAGCTCGAATGTTTACAGAGAAGTTGCTAAACTTCATAATTAATGATCAACCACGATCAGTTGTAGAAAACAAAGGATTTCTCAACTTGATACTTTCAGCCAAGATATAGTTTACCCTGCAGGAGATATTTATCAGTACAACAGTACACAATCATAGAAAAACAAAAAAAAAAACATATGATTTGAAAATTATATATACATTTAAAAAAACTAAACAAAAACAGCTACATTATAAAGTGATGTAAAATACCAAAAACAGGAACATGTCTGTTGGTTTATGCCGTGAACTTATCAGATGTTTGAAGACATTTAACATTTTATTTTAATTTGTTCATTTAAAAAGAACAAACAAATTCATCAAAAAGAAAATATTGAATGAAGAGAGTCTAGAAAGGAGAAAATTCTTATATCTGCCCCTTATTTAAAAAATATAAAATAACTTTAAACAATCACTTAAATTAATCACTTTAATATCCACTTTAAAGCTAGGAATAAACAAACATGTTTTGTGTTAGCAGAATTTAATTCTAACTTTAAAACTTATCCAACATTAATAAAACTTACCTCAAGTTGACTTTTTGGACATGCATCATATATTTGTACAAATTGTACTTGAGAGGAGATTATTACAGCCTCATATAAAATCAGTGATGATCATGATGATATCAGAAGTGGATCGTATCGGCTGATATTCAGATTTAGGTATCGGGATCGGAAATAAAAAAGTGGCTCGGTGCATCCCTAATTAAAGCAGAGAAGACAACACGACCATTCAGAACGAACTCTGACCTCGTCGGCGTCAACGATCTCCATGACCTTCTCCTTGAAGAACTTGGAGTAGACGTCACTGGTGATGGACGCCGCCTTCTTCATGAGGTTTAGCTCCCCGTCCTCCTTCACCGCCATCGTGTAGGCGACCACGGCGCTGATGTCCACCTGCACAACACCAAGTGTTCAACAGAAACAGGAGGGCGCTCGAGTCTCTCAAAGATCATCTTGCTGAACCGTTTCTTACCCTCTCGAGTCCCTCTGAGGACAGAGCGCTGTTCCAGCTCTTCATGTAGTCTCCAGGGAACTTGTCTTTGCTGAACACCCCCACCGTCTTCCCCTCCTTGCTGCCCTTGATGGCCTCAATCATCTTGTCGAAGTTGGCCTTGTTGCTTTCGTTCTAAGGGCCGTGGAACAGACAAGTCGTCAAAACAGGATTCATGAGGACTTTGTACCGAGGGCAGAGCACAAGAATCCAGATGAAAAATAAAAAACAAGTCTACAGAACCCGTAGAGCATTCTAAGAGTGATCCGTCTAATTAACCCTTTGAGCACCTTTAAAATTATTGTACACCATTTGGGTCCAAAAAGAGCCCTCTCACAAAAGATCCAATGTATAGTTTTAACTTTCACTGCATCAAATATTGAACAAACTCTGACCAAACTATAGAGGTTTTCTTTTTCATTTTTATAACTTTGGTCAACAAATAAACAGATATATTGTTTTGTAATGGGAACGCCACAAATTATGCAATATTTTCCAAAACTGGAGGTGCAAAGTGGAATATTTGGCGTGAGGTTATTACCATCTTGACTAGGTCAATAAATGTTAACAGTAATTTAGATGAATTATTATTGTTTGGAGCACTGACATCCAGATTTTATACACATTTCATACCATTCAAAAAGCGTTCAATACAAAAACAACATTGAACGCTTTTTGAATTCATCATGTCCTGGATGACTGAGAATCTTCACCAGCATATTTCATACCATTGTTGTCACAGAAAAACACGATATTTTTCCCCCTCTGGTAAACACAAAACATGAAATAGTTTCTAAATTATGTTGCAAAGAGGAATATTTGGCAAGACCCGACTGTGACTGGAAGGAATTCCTCCCCTGATCCCTCCTGGCCCTCACAGGAATCTTCACTGTCCCCATCATCTTCCTCATTCTGCTCACAGGACCACAAAACTGCAGCCGTGCTTCCTCTACACTACAGACTTCTCCTCGAAGCCGTCTGCTGGAGAAATGGCTGCAAACTACTCTGGTATACTTCAAACCATGCACCTGCGTAAACATGTTACACCGTGTATCCAACTAGAGCAAGGAGGCTCTCGATCGGGGGGGAAGACAGAGTCCATTTGGCCTTTGGAGACTCAAATTTCACACAAACATGTTCTCAGCAACGTTCACGCCACTCTTTTATATCAGTCCCGACACACCAAGATCATTTTTGAACCAATCGGCTGATTTTTTTTACCTCCATGCCTTTTGCAAGATAAGAAAACCAGACCTCCAATGAAACTGTAACGAAGGTCTGAAGCCCCTGTGGGGTTGGGGGTCATCACAACTAAAACCTGCTATCACTTTATTTTCAAGGTAGAGGCTTAGATTTATTAGATATTCATGAAAAATGCATTGTGATATGTCAGGATTTCAGTGCACGAAATATGTGCTTATAATGGGAGTCAATGGGACCAAATGGAGCCTTAGGGTAAAGACCTTGCACTGGAGGTGGTCATGAAATTAATAAAAAAAAAAAAAAAAAAAAAAAAAAAAAAAAAAAAAAAAACAATATTAAAAAACAAATTCTGGCCAAGTTTCATGCTCTTTAAACTGATTGACGTATTGAGAATCAAAAACAAGCAAATTAACAGAATGTGCATGTTTGGTCTCCTGAGCGTTAAAGTCATTCAACACACAGTTCCTGATAAAAGAAAAAGTATTGTTTAAAATAAATCATGTTGCCGGCACCTTTACTGTGAGTGTGTTAGATTAGGATCCGCTTATGACAAGAAGTATCTTGGTTAAACCTCATAAATGACATCGTGCGTGATCTCATACAACAAGGAACGACTAATGACAAAGCGGCTCCTCTTCTGGACCATCGCACCCTCCCATTTGTTTTCAGTGGGTAACTGAGCACAGCAACAGCTCCGGTACCTTTTCTCTGGTGAGCAGCGTGATGGGCGGCACACCGTTGGCATTCTCGTTGCCTTTAGTCACGGCCACCTGTCGGAGGAAATCCACCTTCTTCTTGCTGGCGAGGAAAATGATTTTCGTGTCACAAAACACGACGATGGTGTCCGTCAACTCGTAGCCGAACAGCCAGGTCTGAGGAGGAAGAAGCAACACACACGAGCAGTGAGCGCACAAACCTGGAGGAGTGGACGTCCAGCTTTAACGAGTATGACCGCAGAGTCAGCTTTCATACTATCGTCTCCTTTTTTAAGTTTTTTTTTTTTTTTACCCCAACAAATCTACTTTTGCATACTTTGTGCAATTTTAACTATCCGTACTTGAACATATTCAGCTAAATCAAGATTTGTGGGTTATGGCTAAACTGCAGCGTTTATAGCTCATATTAAACATGGCTTTGCACAAAGCTGTGGTGTAAAAGATAAATAATAAAATTAGATGTTAAAACACTTTGTTTTTGTAGGAAACCATCTTTGATCCTCCTGCTTCTCTGGGTCAAAATGACCTAGAGGCCTCAAATCACGCAGTGACTGAATGCAGACCTGAACTCGGTGCACTCTGTGATGTCATCATGCATGTACCAACCTGTATGGCTGTAGATTTGGCGTACACAATTTCTTCGTCCACTCCAACAGACACAACAATGGCGTCGACTTTACCGAACTCGTCCTCTCCTTTCTAGAAACGACATAAAATCAGACATCCAATAAAGTTCAATCTGGTCCTCTGGACATTCAAAAAAAAAAAAAATCAGACAGTGTAACATGACAAGGCAGACGCAGCTCGATACATCAAGACATTACTTGGTCCACAGAGCCCTGACTACACTGTGAACGTGTCAGGAAAAGAACGCCAAAGCCCTGAAAGCGTCACAGCAGAACAAACTCATGAAGCCTAACTAATTGGTTCAGGTCCTTTTACTTTGTTGTAACAAATTCTGTTTAAGTTGTACCTTTACCACTTTGTACTTTTGACTACTATGCACCCATTACATTGCAAGTACAAAATGAAGATGTCTGCCATGGGTCTCTTTTTAAACATTTTCCCAAAACAGTATTTATTGTGGATGGGAGGTGTGAACTCATTGCAAAGCACCTGCTACAGTGGACACGGGGCTTAAGCAGAGACAAAGACAGAAATACATTAAGTACATAATGGTACTGTTAAGTACAACATGGGGAAATGTTGAAAATACCAATAAGCCTGTTGTACCCACGTATTGTACTCGGGCATTACCGTTTTGTGTTTGCATGTACTTAATTGTGTACCAAGTTCTGATATTAATATGTTTGTGTCTTTTTTATATTTTCTTTGTTAAACCTTGAAGTAAGTTTGTAAATAATGAAGTTATAGCACGGCCGACAAAACAGTGATTGAAACGTTGGCACCGTGTATAAATTACATTGATAAACACTGTTAATGTCATTAGCTTTTCTATGGCCTTTTCAATGTTAAGTTAGAGTTCAAGTACACAGCTTTTTGACATGCTGTGTACTTTTTATTGGGAATGAAACTATATAAACAGGTCCTGTCCAAACAGATCTCGCTTGTAAATGAGTCTTCGAGGCTCAATGTGATTTATCTGTTTAAATAAAGGTTGAATGAGTGAATGAATGAATAAATGAGTTATGTACAGAGTCATTTGTTTCAACTTCATTTGAATGCATTAACAATGTTTTATGATCAAATTGCAAGGTGCTTCAACAGTCCAAACCCATAAAGAACAACAAGTATGAGACTGTGATGGACCTCTGACATGTCCAGGGTTTCCCCTGCCTCTCACACAATGACTGCTGGAGATAAACACCAACTCACAGGACCCTGAACAGGACCAAGCAAGGTAAAGGGAAATGGTTAGACGGGTGCATGGAAACGACAAGACACCTGGCAGGCAGCTCTGTTTTGTTGTACACACCAAAGTTTAGTATAAAGTGAGTCCTGCAAAAGTGTTACGGGACCAAAACATCCAACACCCTTCAAGTTCATCACAACAAACTAAAGATATCAAAGATGATGATAATATGTATGACGAAGGCAGTAGTAAAGTGTGCCCATTGCTTTGAGTTAATAAGAGCCACATACAAAAAAGGGATGCCTTCATTCAAAACTACAATGTCAGATTGACACTGAGCAGCCGTCATGAATAAAGACACTGGAAGTCACAAGGCTTGTTTATCGTTCATTGTGTGTTAATTTGTCCTAACTGATGGTGCACCAGTGATCAGTGCTGTCACCATCATACCATCAATGCTGATAGTGGTATTGAAAGTTAAGTCCTGGTTAAAGTCGGCTCTTTAAGTGCTTTAGGCTTTCTGTTTAAATATACATCAAACAGTATTGTGGCTATTCTACTCGAGGACGAGAAAAACCCTAAAGCTACAACTTTCTGTGAAACAACCTCTTGACAAAACGCTCGTGAGGTGACAATAAGTGATTAAACAAAGTTAATAAAATGAATAGTTTTTCCAGAAACTACAGAGGAATGCTGCACATGTTACTGTGATGCTAGAGCTATTCTCATGCTAATGTAGCTAGCATTAGCATGTAGCCACCGCAGGAAGTCAGTGCAGACAGACAGAAACTGACACTGTGGCAGCTGAGTCGATGTCACAATAATCTAGGTGAAGACTGAATTCGTTAAGACTTCGTTATGACAACTCATTCACCAAGTGAGCAGAGTTTAGCATCACGGCGGAGCCAGCGTTTGGCTAGTTCGCTAGCTTCAAGCTAAAGGAGACCGACAAGCTAACATGAGGTAGCTGCTGGCTTTTTTAACTGGTACTACAGGAATATCCTTCACGCAGTGACATGAAATACAGCGATTAAAATACTTCAACTCGTACAAAGTGGTGTTTGTTCCTCGTGGTTTTCTGCGCTGTGTGAACGCGTCAACTCCACAGGAGAAAAAACGCGGCTAACTTTAACGCGCTCCAGCAGCTAACTTCTTTACATGATGAAGCTCCAGCGGACTCCCCCACTCCGACAAACAACATTCACCTTCCAGTTGCTGTACAGTCTCTTGATGCGGCGGTAGTAGGCTTCCTTGTCCAGGTTTACCGCCATGGCGAAGTCCCAGTTGGATCAGAGTCCAGCTCCCGGCTTCGCCTCTCAGCAGGCCGGACACTCAGCAATGACGAGGAGTCAGCTACAACAACCCGCCTGCTGAGGGCCCACACACCGAGATGCTGTTATCCTGTCACTGAGTAAAAACACTTAATACTTAAAATATCAATAAAACGTAAATTATCCCTCTGGTTTTACCATACACACGCCACGATGCTTTAATTAAGGGCTGTCCCTCCCTCGCTTCCTCCCGTGCCTCTCATCCCTCCCCCCCATTCTGAGTTGAACGTATTTATCATAAATATTAATTGCATACTAATGTTCCTCGACTACAACTTTTTATTATTTTATCTACATTGTTTCAAAAGCAATAATCAAAAATATAGGTGCGTTGTGATTTTATTAATTTTAATGTAATTTTTTTTGTACTTTTAATTTTTTCATTTTGTGTGTTTGAGTGGCGCATTTTAATTTACGCTGCACAACAGCGACCCCTGCTGTTCGTTTCACCACGCTTGCTTTTCCCGCCGCTGTGGCTTGGTGGGATTTTTCCCGCCACCATCATCAAAATGTCTCTGGTGACGTAAATCTCGCGATTTCTCGCGATAACTACTGGTAGCGACTCTGGTAGTGACCGCAGTTAAAACTAATTTGATCTGATGTAAGGAAGAGAACGAGCCATGTTGTTTAAATGTGGGATTTAAGACATTTCAATACATTATTTTGTATTCATGTATATAAATTATAAGGGAAAAATAGGGTTATTAACATCTAACCACACTGATACGACTAAGTTACTACCTTGTAAGCACAATAAGTATTTGTAAACTTATTTCTTTAGCATATAATATTGTACTTTATCACTAGATTATAAGAATCTATAACTAGTATATCCCCAAAAAATTAGGTTTACAAATACTTATTGTGCTCACAAGATAACGTAGTCTGAAATATTTAATATAACAACTCTAGATGAAATGTATAGGTGAACAGATTTGGCAAGAAACCTCAGTTTTGTTTCTCTATCACCCTTAAGGCATAATAAGCAGTTATTAATGATTTATAAAGTGTTTATATGAATTATTAACCTGTCTATAAACTATTTATTAGCCATCTACTGTATAAGGGGATCCTTACTGTAAAGTGGTACTGAGTTTTTTATACACGCTTATTGGCACGATGACCTCGGCCTCCTAGACTCGGAGGCATCAGGTGCCTGCAGGCTCCTCTCTGAGAGCGAAAAAGAACTCTGACCTCACACACATGGTTCAACATTAATTTAACATTAGCCGTGATAAACATCCATTAACCTTTACCTAAATTCCCCTGACATGGGACACTCCTGTGGTTTAAGGAGGAACAGTTGCATGCCCTGGACTGGTCCAATCTGAGCCCAGAACTCAGTCAAACAGGGTTTGAGGTCAGATTAGATCTGAAGACTGTTGGACACATGCTCAAGTTATTTTTTTTTCCTTATTCCTCGTTTCACACTTTGCGTCTTCAAACTGAAAGTTGTAGAAGTTGGGAAACAAACCATCTGCTCACAACAAACTCATGTTCAGGCTGCTGTTTAAATACACCGTATTATATCATTATCGTTTAGTGTACATCTTAGATTCTTGTAAACAGTTTCTTTTCATACTTTATATTTTGCTAATTTTGGGTGCAACTGGGACTACGAGTACACAATTTCGTTCCACCTCATGTACCACATGTAATGTGAATGACAAGAACCTTGGTGCAACATTCATTTTAAATTCCAGATGTAAAGCGACTAAACAGAAGAAATATCATGGGGTGTGTGTTTCTCCTCATTACTCAACAGTCGGGTCTCAAATCAACATGCATGTTGTGTAAGGTGTATTTTACACACCCTTTAAAGTTGCTGGGTAGTACAAAATACCACCTTTGCAGTATGTGAGATAATCAGGCTTTGATCATTTACAGTATTAAAAAAAACCTAAATATTTCAAATTAACGCATTTTGAAAATAGAAAAAAAAAACAGCAAGAGTGACAACCCCAACATTGTGACGAAAATGCAAAATCTCAAATTTATATTGCAACATAAAATATTTTATTTCATGATTAAAAACATTTCCAGGATATCTCCAGTAGACTTCCACTTCCTCAGACTGGGAACAGCTGTTTGAATAGTCAGCCAACCAGTGATTCTCTAATTGATCATGTAAAAACACTTTTCAGCCGGACTCTGCGTTCAGTAAGTGATGCTGTCAAAGCTGTTCGTCATCCCAACATTTATTTATTCTTCAGGGACAAGTTTCCTCATGAAGCAGAAGATGCAGCACGTATTTAAAGTTTACATGTAGCAGGAAGAATGAGAGAGATGTTCGCACCTCAAGGGAACAACCTTCATTTGATGGTTGTGTAATACCGTATTTTCCTGCATATAAGTTGCAGCAGTAAAAAGAAAAACATCACGAAGAAGAAAAAAACATGTAAGTCGCTTTGGCGTATAAGTCGCATTTATTTAATGGTTAAAACAGCTTCATTTCGCCTGGGCGGCACGGCGCCATCCATCACGGTTGGAGCCGCTAGCTCTCCAGCGTTCCTCCTCCTGCAACAGCTGAGTGAAGCGAGCGTGCACGGGAGGTCTCGCTGTTGCATTTCTTAGAAATTTAAAGCGCAAGACAAAAATTGCGTTATGAATATGGAAAAAAAAAAAAAAAACGTTGCAGGACTGACAAATCTATGCAAAAACTGCGACTTATACGCCGGAAAATACGGTAAGTAGAAGTGCAATGTGTTGTCATTTTATGACGAAATTGGTTCTCTGCATTTAACCCAACACATGAGATACACCCAGGTGGAGCAGTGGGCAGCTATGTGGACGCCCGGGGAGGAATTGGGTGTCTTGCTCAAGGACACGACATGTGGGAATGGAGGCGAGTCGAGCCTGCGGCTTCCTGGTCCCAGGTCGGCTGCCCTACCTCTACCCCATCTTGGTCCCCAAAAGTAAAGTAAAAGTCATCCCGAAGTGTTTTAAAAATTACGTTTTTGTAAATTATTGAAAAAAAAAAAACAGATTTAAAGAGGGTTCTGTGCTCGTTACAGTTGTTGGGTTTAAATGGCTGAAGTCGTTCCTGTCCAGCTGACACAAACACGTTACTGAAACAGCAAAATATTAATACTTTCATACTTCATTAGCAATGATCAGTCCTCACTCGCGCACACACACAAATTTTTAAAATCAAGAAATGCATCGGTAAGACTCCTCCTGCACACTGAACATGAAAAAAAAACAACGTTGGTGTAAAATGTCCAACTTTTTATCAACTCCCACATTTAAACGTACAATAATTGATCATCCATCTCCCTGTGTGAGCATCGGTACAATCGCAGTGCTTAAAAACAGAAATAGGAGCGCCGCAGGGAGACGTCGGATCGTCTTCCTGCGACGGTGAGGTCGTCCTTGTCCCCGAGATGATGACGGCGAGAAAGATAAAGCGGTGCGGGCTAACACCTGAGTCAGTCGTTCTTGTTTGTTTGCAGTACGCGTGTCTTTGAGTCTGTGTGTCCATGTGTCCTCGGTCTATGTGACCGTGGTGGAGTTTTGTCCTCTGATGGCGCACCAGGCCATGAACACGTCTCTGTGGACGAGAAACAAAAAGTTCAGCAAACTTCACTCCTCAGAGCCTCCATGTTGAAACATCTGTTCAGTTATTTGAATAATAGGAGACAGTTTGTGCAGGTAAACGATGCAAAATCTGAATTTTGTGTTAATGGATGTGGAGTCCCTCAAGGCTCTGTGTTGGGACCAAACTTGTTTAATTTGTATGTGAATAATCTAGTTGATGTGTCAGGGCTTTTGAAGTGCGTTTTATTTGCAGATGATACAACTTTTTTTTGTTCGGGTGAAGCTATTGAACAGATGTTAGAGTAGAGATGATACAAACTTGGCTCCAACGTAATAAGTTATCATTACTTTGGAAAAAGCAAAGTACATGATATTTAGTGATAGAAATAAAATTATTCAAGTCCCATTTTATATTGACAGTACTGAAATTCATAGAATTAATCAAATACAATTTTGGGGTGTCGTTATTGATGAGAAGCTGACGTGGAAATCTCATGTAAATTACTTAAAAATAAAAATAGCTAAATCAATTGCATTACTGTATAAAGTAAAATAGTTTTTGAATGACAAAGCTTTATATACATTGTATAATGTAATGATTGTTCCATATTTAATCTATTGTATTGAAGTTTAGGGAAAAGCATGTAAAACAATTCCAAATCTTATTTTTATTTTACAAAACAGGGCTAAAAGAATTATTAGTAGGAAGGGTTATGGTCACTCAACAAATATATTATTTCATCAATTGAAATTATTAAAATTTTATGATTTGGTTGAATATAGTACTTTACAAGTCATGTATAAAGCTCATAAAAACTATCACCCCCAAATATCCAATTAAAATGTGTTAAAAAAGGGAGTCATTATAACCTTAAGGGAATGGAGACGTTTGTAAAACCTCCATTTAGAACTGGTCTGAAGGAGCTGCGTTGTAGTTCAGGGAACAGGATTATGGAATTGTCTTGATATCACCATAAACTTTTATAAACAATTTATATGTTTAAAAAGATGATTAAGTTTAAATTGTTGTGAAAGTTTGGTGCCATATGAAGGATATCTAATATTTTTTGTTTTCACTTTGGAGATTGTTCAAGCCTAAGTTGTTTTTTTTATAGTTATTTTATATGTTTTTAAATAAGGGGCAGATATTATAAGAATTTTCTTCTGCTTTCTGCACCTTTTTCATTCAGTGTTTTTCTTTTTAATGGATTTGTTTTGATTCTTTTAAATGAATGAAAAAATAAATAAATTTGTTAATCTCTGTGTGTGTGTACCTGCAGTGTGTGGCGACACACTCGTTGCTGCAGTACTCCATGTCCCAGTCTTTGCTCTCCACGGCGGGGTTGGTGCAGCCGGCTCGCACACATATATTGGGCGGGGCTGTGGGGGTCACAGTGGGACCAGGCGCTACGTTCAGCTCCACCTCCATCTGCGAGAGCAACGATCACATCCAGGTTTGAACTCAAATACATTCAGTCGATGGTAACGTTCAGGTATGAAGTCACAACTTACCCCCTCCTCTGCCTCCCCCACTTCCTCTCCCCCCACCATCACAGAATCCCCCTGCCCCATCTCCACCGTCACACCCGATGAGGAGGTAACTGACGTGGCTGCTTTGGCGGATGATGTCAGGATGATCGGCGCCCTCGGGTCGGACTGCCGTGACGATGGGACGACTTTAATCTGCAGTGGAGGGGGCGCGGTGGCCGCAGCCGCTCCTCCACCTCGCGGTTTGGCCTGTAGAGGAGGCGGAGCCTGGGCGTGCACCATTTGCTGCAGCCGGGGTGGGGGCGGGGTGTTCTGCATCTGCTGCAGCGGCGGCGGCTGGCGCGGCGAAGAGGCGGTCGTGGAGATGACCGAAACGCCACCGGACGGTAGCGGCATCTGCTTGATGATGATCTTTGTGACAGTGGGGGGGTTCGGCATGGTGCTGGCGGGCGGAGTCTGGGGCTTGATGGCACCGGTACGGGAGCGCGTGGTGACCTGAGGCAGGTCCAGGATGATGTTAGAGGTGCAGATGTTGGTGATAGTGTTCTCCTCGGGATTGTAGTGCTGTGACCTGCTGGAGCGGGGGGTCGGGATAGAGGTGGGGGTGGTTGTGACTGGAGGAGCTGGAGGTGGGGGTGGGGGTGGGGGTGACGGGGCCGTGTCCATGACCTCGATAGGGGACTGTGGGGGCGACGAATTGGACAAAACAGAGAAAAAGTTAAAACAGCTCATTCGTTTACATCTAATTTAACTTAACATTTCCTGTGAAAATACAGTGCTGAAGAACTTGCTGAGAAACAGCTGAAATTAGTTACAACATGCCGAAATGTAGCTGAAATAAAGAACAAGCCTAAATTAGCAGAAGAAAGCAGAAAGAACACACATTTGCTGAAACTGGTTTAAATAAGCAGACTGGCTAAACAAAAAAAAGCTGAAAAAAGCCAAAAAATTGCTGAAAAATAACTGAAAGGCAGAAAGTAACTTTAAGTACTAGAAGGAAGCGGAAAGAGCTGAAATGAGCTAAAAAAAAGAAGAAGAAGCTAAAATTAACGTAAAATAGCTAAATAGTAGCGGAAACAGCTGAAACTAGCATAATTAAGCTGAAGGAGCATAACAAGCTAAAATTAGCAGAAAGAAGTTAATTAGGCTGAAAGTAGCAGAAATTACCACAAAAGACTTGAATTTATCTGAAAACTGCTGAAATTAGCTGAAAATGCAAAGAACTTTGCTTAAAAAGGTAGAACAAGCTTAAACTAGCAGAAGTGGAGAGAGCACGCTTTCCCAATTAGGCTGCAAGAAGTAGAAATTAACACTAAAAGTGGAAATTATCTGAAAAAAGCTGAAATCAGCAACAAAAAAAAAAAATAAAATCAGAAAGAAGCTTAAATCAGCAGGGAGAGCGCACATTTTTGCTGAATTAGGCAGAAAAAAGTTTAAATGAGTACAAAAAATGTGGAATTACCCCGTAGCTGAAAAAGCTCAAATTAGCATAAAACAGCCAAATAGTAGCTGAAATAGCAGAAATAGTTGAAACTTGTAGAAATAAGCTGAAAGGAGCATAACAAGCTGAAATTAGCAGAAAGAAGTTAGAAGCACAAAAATGTTGTAGTTTGCATAGAGAATCTGAAAAGAGCACAGAACAGCTGAAATCAGATGAAAGTAGCTGAAAAAAGTTTAAATGTGCACAAGGAAGCTGAAAGAAGCCGAACCAGAACAAAATGTGAAAGAATCAGTAAAAGGTTGTAAACACATCTAAAGATTTGAAGGATGTAAAATGAGCTCAAGTCGTTTTCTATGAGAAAAAATTGGCAGAAAAGGCTCAATATTTCAAAAAGCTAAAGTCGAACCAATACCAAAAGTCACAGCAGGATTGTCGTGAAAGAGCTGAACGTTTTGATATGATTCGTTGAAATAGCACAAAAATTGTGGAACGAGAAAGATGCAGGAAAACGTGCTGAAGAAGAATAGATCATAATAGAATGCTTCATGAGCGTTCACACAACAACTTTTTAATGAAGCGCTCACGCCGCTGCAGGATTTAAACCAGGAACAGGACGAGATATTAACTGATCGTTAGATGATTCTTAATATGACAGCCGCTGACAAACAGGACACTTCCAGCCAAAAACACGGCAGCCTTGGAAGACAAGAGCTGTAACGTCTCAAACCAACCAGGGACAGCCAGTAACTTTCAAACATTCAACGACGTTGGATAAAATGGGCAAATTCAAAAAAAATTATCGAGACCTTCACGAGCATTTTTTGCTTTTTTTTACCCCGGAACCTGGCAGTGACACTTGATATCGTTTCCTAACGGTGCTCCTGACACAACTTCTACCACCTAACCAAAAAAAGAAAAGAACCGTGAGAAGTGCAGCCTTTGTTCCAACCATCTGAGTTTATTTTAAAAGTAAAAACTTTAATCATGGCTCAGATTTTCCGTCAGTATGTAATCTCCCCTCCACATTTAGCCATTAGACCAGTAAAAACGTAGGAATTTAAAGATCCCTGGCTAGTCATCAGCAGAACTATGAAATATTTAACATAAGGAATAATTAATGAACAGCCTTTAAAACGAAGGGTCCTCATAGGGGCACCAACTATCTACCAACTTGGAATACAAACACTAAAATCTGATCAGAAAGCAGGTTTCTTCATATTTACCTGCGCTCATTTCTACACAAACAGTTAAAGCGGACCCTGAAGGCATCACACAACAAACTGAGCGTAAACGGCTCAAGGACAGTCTGCTCGGACATGAGCGTTTGTACAAACATTTAATGGTGAGAATGTTTATGAAGCATTCACTCTGTTGTCATCCATTTTTCTTCCGTACGTTTTTCAGCGCGATTCTTGTCCCGCAGTTTTGAATCCATTTTAAAAATCATGTCTCAAAACGTTCAGCTCTTTCAGGACAATCCTGCTATGACTTTTGATATTGGTGCAACTTTAACTTTTTGAAATGTTTAGCCTTTTCTGTCACTTTTTCCTCATAGAAAATGAACTGAGCTCATTTTACATCCTTTAAATCTTTAGATGTGTTTACAACCTTTTACTGCTCCTTTCACAATTTGTTCTGCTTCAGCTTCTTTCAGCTTCCTTGTACAAATTTTAACGTTTTTCAGCTACTTCCAACTATTTTCAGCTGTTTTGTGTTTCTTTCAGATTCTTTCTAACTACAACATTTTTGTGCTGCTTCTTACTTCTTGCTGCTAATTTTAGCTTGTTGTGTTCCTTTCAGCTTATTCTGCAAGTTTCAGCTTTGTCCTCTATTTCAGCTACTATATAGCTTGGTTTTTGTGCTAATTTTACCTTTTTCATCTAATTCCACATTTTTGCACTCATTTCAACTTTGCACGACCTAATTCAACTAAAATGTGCTCTCTCCACTTCCTTTTGTAATTTAAGCTTTTTTCTGCATTTTTAGCAACATTTCAGCTGTTTTCTTTTTGCTAATTTCAGCTTTTTTTCCAGATAATTTCCACTTTATTTTCATTTCTGCTTCTTTCAGCCCAATTGGACAAATGTTCTTTCTGCTTTCTTCTGCTAACCATCTTGTTCTACCTTTTCAGCTACTTTTTTGTTGCATTTTTAGCTAATTTCAGCTGTTTTCAGATAAATTCAAGTTTTCTTGGTAATTTCTGCTACTTTCAGGCAAACTTCTTTATGCTGGTTTCAGCTTTTTTTTTTTTCCTGTTATTGCAACTACTTGTACTTTTTAACCGTTTTGTGCTAAATTTGGCCTCGTCAGTTACTTCCACATTTATTTTAGCTCATTTCAGCTCTTTCCACTTCCTTCTGGCAGTTTATGGGTTTTTTTTGTTGTCATTTTCAGCTTTTTTTAATCTAATTTCCTAATATTTGAGCTTATTTAAACCCAATTCAGCAAAAATGTGTTCTTTTTCTTCTGTTAACTTCTTCCATTTCAGCATGTTTTTAGCTAATTTCAGCTGTTTTTCCATAAAGTTCTTCTGTAATAAGCATTTACACTGCATTTTTGCAAGAAATGCAATTTCTCTAGTTTTCTTTATTTCTTAATGACACTTGTGTGCCTGGGTGAATATATATATATATATATATATATAAACTTCTACTGTACGTAAGCAACAGTGGAAGACGAATACAAAGGCATGGAGGGCATGTTTTACTATGTAAAGTCTCTTCCTGTACAAGTTTAATTTACAAACTGCACATGTTAATGTCCACCTGAGACTGACAAGTCAACATATGTCCATAAAGCAGATCAAAACAAGCAAATGTATGTTTTATTGTCCGTCAAATGTAAGACACAGACTAAAATGGCAGGTAGTGAATGACTCTATTCTATGGTTTGTCAGAATATTGGTGCAGCTCTTGAACTCTGACATTATGAAGAACGCACACTGCTACTCACACTCACATCCTCCTCTTTAAATCTAATGCCAAAACTTTTATCTGCTGCATTCAAGTTGCAGCTAAAAATTATTTTTATCAGTCTCTTTGAAACCAGAATCAATGTTGTGTATAATTTATACATGCGAGCCCTATCCCTGTAAATATTGTAGCACGTACAGAGTACGAACTACTACTTCCTGTGAATGCTCTGGTGGAGAGAGAAAAGCTCTGCAGAGAGTGGAGTCATCCTCCTCACCATCACAGACATCTACACCTCCAGATGCAGGAAGAGGGCCACCTGCATCATGAAGGACCTCACTCACGCAGCACACACACTTTTTCCCCGCTCCACACAGGAAGGAGGTTGAGGAGCATTAAGTGTAGAACCACTAGACTGAGGAACAGCTTCTACCCTGAGGCTGTTGGACTCATGAATCTCTAACCAGGATAATCACTGTAATGACACTTTAATTTGAGAATATGTCACTTTATCTGTGCTGCTGATTATCCATGCTGCTGATTTCTTGCCTTTAAGCTGCTGTATTCATACTCATTTGCTCACTACAGACTCATGTTCCGGCTGCTGTTTAATACACCGTATTATTATTGTTTGGCATATATCTTAGATCTTGCATACTGTTTTTTTATACTTTATATTTTTGCTAATTTTGGGGTGTAACTGGGACACTATGGACACAACTTCGTTCCACCTCATGTACCACATGTGATGCGAATGGCAAAGAACCTTGAACTTCGAAAAGGCAGGCCTGGTTGTAGTATTTCATTTGGCTATCCTTTCTTTACTTTATGGCTGTTTCAACAACAACAAACGCCTGTGACGTTTTCTGAATTTGTTCTTACAATCAGATGCACTTTTATATTTACTGGTAATTGATTCTGTGACGGACAAAGGCTGAACATGCACTCAAAGTTTTAGACGTTTTAAAAAAGTTGCCACGTGTCAGTGAGGGCTGTTATTCTCAAGCATTTGTAAAATAAATAAATGAATAAATAACAATATTCCAGTTTGTAAATATAAATAATGAACCTTCTTCATACACCAAAGTTAGTCATGGAGTTCCTCAGGGTTCAGTGCTTGGACCATTACGCTTTACTTTATATATGCATCCTTAGATAGACAACTTTTATTAATGTGCTTTTTTTATGTATGTGAATGTTTCTGTTCGGTGCCTTGAGACGACTTCTGTCGTGACTTGGTGCTATATAAATAAATTGAATTGAATAAATTATGCTCTTATTAACACAGTAAGCACACAAAGAACTGCGAAAGCAAACTGACGTAAAACAGGACAGGAGTTTGTGCTGCACAAACGCCTTTAAAAACAAAAACCACACACTAAAGTTAGTAAAGAGTTTACTAGAAGCTGGGACAGTTCAGTGTCGGCTGAGTCAGAGCACCTGCACAGCTTAGAGCAGGTCTATTCATCTACATTGCTCAGGAGCCACAGACACTGCAGTTATTGTCATTAAGTTAGTTTGTTTTATGGTTTAAAATTAAGTTTTATTTAAAAATGAACCCATTGGTGTGCCGAACTGAGTTCACCTGTGGGACTGATTTGGCCCCCGGGCCGCCAGTTGAATAGCCCTGGCTTAGAGCTCATCCTGGGGGTAAACAGTGAGGGGGCACGACTCTAAAATTCAGAGCCCATTGACTTTTTGATTCAAAATTAAAAAAATAAGAGGCTATTTTATTGAATGACCAGTTTTAGTCCTTTGTGTATGCTTGTAGAACTTAAGCGAATGTCTCATGACATCTTACCTCTCCTGCTCGGTGCCTCAGATCAGCTGATCAGCTGCTCCTGGAGGCGCCGAGGTCCAACCGAAGGCTCAGAGAGGACAGAACTTTTTCTGTAGTTGCTCCAGATTATGGAACGATCTCCCACTTCCTGTCAAACGAGCCCTTCACTGTCCACTTTTAAAACTCTTTTTAAAAATATCACTTTTATTCTCTGGCTTTTGGCACTCCCTTCAGTTTATTTTTACTACAGTTTTATTTATTTTATTGATCTTACTCTTTTTATTCTTGGTTTTATGTGTTTGACCGTGAGTTTACATGTACAGCACTTTGTTGCAGCTGCGGTTGTTTTAAAGTATTTTATGAATAAAGTAGTAATGATGCGATGGCACGTAATTCTGTTTTTACTGTGTGAGAAAATGTAAAAAAATGGAAAACAAACTCTCATTACATAATTTTTCTAATATTTTACTCACCTGAGGTATTTTGCCTCCCCTGTACTCTGCAAGGGCTTTTAAGTATTCCTTCTTTGCAGCTTCATTTTTTCTTTTGTAAACCTGAAATAAATAAAATAATAATTAAAGCTCACCCACAGGACGAATGGGGGAAACAGCCCACTGAATAAACTGTACACAAACCAACCATCATCATTTGTGCCAACAGCTTTGGCAGGCGACTGGAATCAGACACTCAAAAAAACAATAATTTTTCTGTCAGTGAACGCACCATAGCGAAACACTAACTCCTAGTGACTCATTATTAGTCCAGTTGTTCTTTGTGGACACACAAGTTGCCATCAAGTGTGAATAAGAGTTTCAGAGTTCATGCTCAATAATCCAAGTAAAAAAAAAATCCAACAAAGTTCAGTCAGTTCATCTGTCACCATAACAAATTTTCCTGGGCAATTAATTGTCTCAGAAATTGTTTCGATAAACAATAATATTGTTTGAAATTTGACAATAATTTATAATTATTGTGAAATTTAAGAAGAAATGTTGATTTGTTTTGCATGTAGTACTTTTTTCGACCACTGGATGGCAGTATATACTATTTGAACGAAGGATGGAAAGATGAGGGAGAAGGGGTTCTCTGCAGACCAAAAGTGGGCGTTTCTAGAGAATAGGTGTTTGTAGGGGGCAAACACTGATTGGCTAATTGGATTTTCTGGCTCTTCAGGTAAGTTATGTCAGTACTTCTTTAAAACTGAAGGTTTCTAAGAACCAGCATTATATCTGCTGTCAAACACAAGATTATTCTCTTTTGTTGGGTTGTAGGCTGCACCTGACACAGGTCAGCTTGAGTGTGGTCTGGGTACAATGAAATATGAAGCATCTGAAGCGAAACCTGCTCCCATTTGTCAAAAAGACTGGTCTCAATTAAAGATCATGAGTCCTGTAACGAGATAATGGCCCAAAACAAAAGCTAAAAACAAAATGTTCTCTTTAGAAGTTCTTCTATGAGATCTGATCTATGAAAGGAGCTGAAACATGGAGTAGGATTGACCCTTAAAATGTGAGACAGCTGAGGAAGTTAACCAGTAAACAGAAATACCTGCTCCAGTTACAGAAATCTTACAGAAACTGACAATCACTCATCTGCAGTGACTGATTTAAAAGGTTGAACAAGAAAATGTGAAGTTAAAGGCAACATCCTTAGTCCCAAAACCAGTTTAAGTATCATTAACATTTTGGTTACTTTATTTCTCTTTCTTTATGAATCGATTGTAACTATTTTCACATTATTCAACAACCAAAACAGATTTTTTTTAATGTAATGTCTAGGTATTAAAAAAAAAAACATTTAGCCCTCCCCACTACCCAGTTATTGCTCTTATTTTGAAATTTAACCAGAAGTTCTGTGTTAAGAGGCAGAAAGAGAAGTTATGGAGACGCCGCTAATGTCGAACCCATTAACACCATAGACATAATATGTGGTTAACACAATCTGCCAATAACTCATTGTTTTTAGACGTAATGTCTGTGGTTAACACAAAGACCTTGTTTTTTCCCCCCGTCCAATCAGATGTAGCCCTCTAGATACGTCTTCCATACTTGTCTGCAGATACCTACTTGACTGAGAGAGTGAGCAGCGTGTCTCTAAGAAAAAAGGGAGGGAGGCCCCTTGACATGACATGGGTTGTCACTCTGGTTCTCAAACTGGCAGACACTCTGTGTGGTTTGAGCTCTTTAGCATAGCATTTACACACAAAGCTTTTAATTAAAAAAAAAAAAAATCAGTAAACAAGTTCTCAGCTTCTTTTTTGCAGAGAAAAACAACTTTTTAGATGAAGGCACGGGTTTCAACCGTGAATTTTGGAGCTTCGACAAGACGGAGGTTTGTCCCCGAGCTCGGCCTTTTAGCTTAGCTTCTCAGTTTAGCTTCTTTTAACGATCTAAAAACGTGATTTTGGACGGTTCAAACAGATTTTAAAGAAAAAAAGAGAAAGGGAGGGGTCAGTGAAGAGCACCAGAGTTGAGCTTTTTGTCATCCGGTGTCTTCAGTAGAAAGAGAGAGACATGAAGAAACGATAAAGCTGATAAATGAAATTGAGGTCGATAATTTTCATTTATCATGCGAATAATTGATTTATTGTTTATAGCGACAGGTCTATCTGGACTGTTTCTTTTGTTGTTGAGACGTTTCGTCCTTCACCCAAAGGACTTCATCAATCTGAAGAGCTGCAAACAAACTCAGGGAGTGTGTTGCTTATGGGACTGAGTTTGTGGTGGCTCCTCGGACCGAGGAAGTCCTTTGGATGAAAGACGAAACGTCAACAAAATAAAGAAACTGTCCAGATGACCCGACTGAACTTTGCTGGATTTTGTACCTGGATTATTGAGCATGGACTTTCATGTTTTGAACCACTTTGGCAAGGCTGCCTCAGAAGAGTCGACAGGGGAGAGGGCTGACTCCAGAAACCATCTCCTCACCAGTAAACTGGTTGGCCCACTATGGGAGTGTGCTGCTTTTGGGACTCAGTTTGTTTGTGGCTCCTTGGACTGATGAAGTCCTTTGGAAGAAGACAAAACGTTTCTAAAAAATAAAAAACAAACCGTCCAGATGACCTGACTGAACTTTGTTGGATGCAGAGTGTTTTTACTACTTAGCTGAGGGTTTCTGCACATTTTCCTTAGCAAAAACGACAGTAACAATAAAACCGGAGGAATTTTAATGACCGCAACTTGACTTGTTTTGTTAACGTTTGAGGAACCAAGTCCTCTGAAAGTGCTGCATTTCCAACAACAAATACAGTGGGGAGAACAAGTATTTGATACACTGTTGATTTTTCAGGTTTTCCCACTTGCAAATCTTGTAGATGACTGTAATTTTTATCATAGGTACTCTTCAACTGTGAGTGATGGAATCTAAAACAAAAATCCAGAAAAATACAATGTATGATTTTAAATAAATAATTTCCATTTTATTGTGTGAAATAAGTATTTGATCATCTATCAACCAGTAAGAATTTTGGCTCTCACAGACATGTTAGTTCTTCTTTAAGAAGCCCTCCTGTTCTCCACTCATTACCTGTATTAACTGCACCTGTTTGGACTCGTGACCTGTATAAAAGACACCTGTCCACACACTCAATCAATCAGACTCCAGCATCTCCACAATGCCCAAGACCAGAGAGCTGTGTAAGGACATCAGGGATAAAATTGTAGACCTGCACAAGGCTGGGATGGGCTACAGGACAATAGGCAAGCAGCTTGGTGAGAAGGCAACAACAGTTGGTGCAATTATTAGAAAATGGAAGAAATACAAAATAACGGAAAATCTCCCTCGGTCTGGGGCGCCATGCAAGATCTCACCTCGTGGAGCATCATTGATCTTGAGGAAGGTGAGGAATGAGCCCAGAACTACACGGCAGGACCTGGTCAATGACCTGAATAGAGCTGGGACCACAGTCTCAAAGAAAACAATCAGTAACACTCTACGCCGTCAAGGATTAAAATCCTGCAGTGCACGCAAGGTGCCCTTCCTCAAGCCAACGCATGTCAAAGCCCGTCTGAAGTTTGCAAATGACCATCTGAATGATCCAGAGGAGGAATGGGAGAAGGTCATGTGGTCTGATGAGACAAAAATAGAACTTTTTGGTTTAAACTCCACTCGTCATGTTTGGAGGAAGAAGAATGATGAGTACAACCCCAAGAACACCATCCCAACCGTGAAGCATGGCGGTGGAAACATCATTCTTTGGGGATGCTTTTCTGCAAAGGGGACAGGACGACTGCACCATATTGTGGGAAGGATGGATGGGGCCATGTATCGTGAGATTTTGGCCAACAACCTCCTTCCCTCAGTAAGAGCACTGAAGATGGGTCGTGGCTGGGTCTTCCAGCATGATAATGACCCAAAACACACAGCCAGGGCAACTAAAGAGTGGCTCCGTAGGAAACATCTTAAGGTCCTGGAGTGGCCTAGCCAGTCTCCAGACCTGAATCCCATAGAAAATCTTTGGAGGGAGCTTAAAGTCCGTGTGGCCCAGCGACAGCCCCGAAACCTGAAGGCTCTGGAGGAGAGCTGTATGGAGGAGTGGGCCAAAATCCCTGCTGCAGTGTGTGCAAACCTGGTCAAGAACTACAGGAAACGTCTGATCTCTGTAATTGCAAACAAAGGTTTCTGTACCAAATATTAAGTTTCATTTTCTGGTGTATCAAATACTTATTTCACACAATAAAATGGAAATTAATTATTTAAAAATCATACATTGTATTTTTCTGGATTTTTGTTTTAGATTCCATCACTCACAGTTGAAGAGTACCTATGATAAAAATTACAGTCATCTACAAGCTTTGCAAGTGGGAAAACCTGAAAAATCAACAGTGTATCAAATACTTGTTCTCCCCACTGTATCTGAAGATACATATTATTTCTTTTCAGTAAAATTGAAATAGACAAGATTTATGGCACCCAGTCACATTATTACCTCAAACAGAAATTAAGAACCTGTAACTGTCCCAGAACGTGACATCGGTGTTAACGATCATCATTTCCTGTTAGAAAAATAAAAACTGTTTTCCCTGTAAGTGACTCTCTTACTTGTTTCTGCTCCTCCCCCAGACTGTCCCACATGGACGCCACTATCTTTGAGACTTCTCCAAACGTGGCGTTGGGGTTTTGTCCCTTGATGGCCGCCTGTGTGTCCCTGAAGAACAGAGCGTAGGCCGACACTGGTTTCTGAGGCTCGTAAGGGTCTTTCTTCTTCTTCCCTTTCTTCCCTCCTCCCACCCCTCCTTTCCGACCAATGGTTGAGGAGAGGCTGGAGGTTGGGATGGAGACCAGGGACTCGGACAAGGAGGGATCGAGGGAGATGACTCCAGGAGAGACAGCCAGAGAGACTGGAGATTCAACAAGTACGCTCTGACCAGAGGAGGGAGACAATAATCTGCGTTAGAGGATGAACTTCACGTATGAAAGTAGTTCAGTATGAAGTCAGTACAGAATCTTCCCCTGAGGGCTCACCCTTCTGAAATCATCCATGTCATCGTCCTGGAGCGAGCTGGTAGGAGAAGCAGTAGCTGATAAAGGGTTTTCAGGTGAATGGGGTCGCTGCAATATGTTTCCACCTCCCAGCCCGAGCCCCAGCTGAGCGCTGAGATCCGACTGGTCGATGGTGGTCAGCTGACTAGAGCCCAGTAAGCCCTGGCCCATGTCTCCCAGTGGGACGTCAATGGTCACCGGAGACGAGCTGCTGAACTGAGAGCCCATTGGATGACCGAGATCCTGAAGACACAATGACAGGAGCAAAATTTAAAAAATAAAAACAGTGATTTATCTACTTCACATCATCAAACATCCTGTACTCCTCACCATGCCCAGTGATGACCCCAGCAGAGCATTGCCTCCTGCCTGGTTCATGACCCCCAGACTCAGGTGCTCCAGGCCCTGACTGGGGGCACTGACGTATGTGGAAGCGAACGACGGGTCGTCCCCTTCGACCACGGCGTTCCCCGGCACAACCACGCTGTCTGAGGGGCTGGTGTCCGACAGCTCTCCGAAATGAGACACCACGTCGGACACGGTAAGAGCCGAGTCTGGGTCCAAAGAGATGGGAGGGATCTCGAACTCCTCATCGCCAAGGCTGGGGGTGTGGAACGTCTGGGGAGAGGTGGGATCCAAAGAAACGAAACCAGTTACAAAAGTCCAATGGAAAGTGGAAAAACAGAAATAATAATTTAGACGAAACAGAAAGGTGTGAGCTGAAGATGATCAGGGTTTAAAAGGTAGAATGTTTTTAACTTTTAATTAAATTACAGGATTTTTGATTCAATCTTGAATAATTAAAAAAAAAAACGTTCAAAAGCAAAATGCTTCGTCAAGTTATTCTTCCTTTACAGGTGAACATCGTTCTCAAAAAAACAGTTTAGGCTTGTGTTTGGGCTCAGTGGTGCTTCCCCTGGTATCATGGAACCAGCTCACCAGGACAGGTCAACGTGATAAACAAGCAGAATGCTGAAGTCCCTGAAGGGCTGGAATAGTGCATGTTGGTAGTTTTCAAGACGAGTGGGTTTTGTTGGGCTGGAACTGAACAGAGAATGTAAAGTAAACCTGAATGTTTTCAGTGCAAGATATTCAAGTAGGGAGGAGATGCACTGTGCAGAAAGAGAGGACGTTTTTTAATTCTTGTCCGAGGCAGAACAGAGGGATGGATCAGTGGTGGAGCCAAGGGGTGCCCAATGGTGGCCTCGGTTAACAGATTCATTTTCAGCCTTCCCACCGACCACCCCAGTCATTTGAGGAAACTACAATTTTAAGCCCAACAAAGTTAAGTTGGGTCCTCTGGACAGTTTCTTTTTTATGTTGAAATATTTCATCTTTTATCCAAAGGACTTCATCAGTCTGAGGAGCCACAACAAACGCAGTACCATAAGTAGCACGTTCACATAATGGGCCAACCAGTTTGATGGTGATAATTTGGTTTCTGGAGTTCGCCCTCTCCCCCGACGACTCATCTGAGGCAGCCATGGTCAAAGTGGTTCAGAACAACAAAGTTCATGCTCAATAATTGAGTCGACAGGGGAGAGGGCGGACCTCAAAACTAGTGGTTAATGGTACACGTGGGTGTATTGAACAGTTTTGGTACGGCATGTTCGGTTCGGTCCACGTGCGTACCGTTTTGGTTATTTTTTCATTAATTAAATTTTATTAACGAGAGATTATGCGCCGCGGAACTAAAGTTCCTACGCGTGTTTCAGCACGGCGCTATTATCTTGCAGCACGCTAGCATTAGCAGCCTAGCATCTCGTTGAAGTCTCCTGTTTGGGAACATTATGGCTTTCTTGTTAAAAGACAAGTGTAAATCCAAAGCTGTGTGTCGACGTTGTTTCACAGAGACTGGATCTGCAGCAGCAACACGTCTAACTTGTTAACGCGCTTGAAACGACATCGAACAACGTGAACGTCTCTTCTACAGAATAGCAGCTTGTTGCAAACACTGAAAGTAGCAGCGTTTAAACAACCTTTATCAGGTCATTCAGATCGGTCCAGAGCAATAACACAAGCTGTAGGAGCTTTTAAAGCTCTGGATCTACGTTTCTGTTGTTGATGCGCCGGCTTTAAAAGTTATTGAGCCCCGCTACGACATCCCAACACGTCAACACTTCAGCCAAAACGTTGTAGCAGAACTTCACGAAAAAGATAAAACTGATACTGTCAACAAGCCCTGGACCAGATTAAAGTCCTGATGATGATGATGACCGAGAGATTCAACCACCTCAGAACAGAAATGATGGCCGTTCAAGAAGAGATGTTATTTTTATTATTATTATCTAATTAACTTTTTAAATTTTAAATTATAATCTTATTAACTTTTTTTTTTTTTTTAACTATTTGTATTTTATTTCCAGTCTGGGACAGAGATAGCAGCTGAGTCTTCCTCCTCTTCAGGGAAATCCACCAGAGATCACCTCCAGCTCAGAAGTCTGTGACGAGTGAACTCTGACCTTTTCCAGGGACCTGTCCCACCTGTGGGAGCAGGTCCAGGAGGTTGTGAGTAATGAGGCCAAATACAGTTACGCTGCAAAATGATCAAAGCTCTACCTCTTTATTCCTGCTACTGTTGTTAGTGAACTGTTTTCTCCCCCGCTGGAGATATTCACTGCAACTAGATCTGTGCGTTTGGCAGAAAATGTGGACAAGTTTGTCTTTTTGGCCAAAAACTTAAAACTTGATTAGTTAGATTGTAAACAGTCTGTTGCTGCTTATTGTTCTGGTTCTGACTGTTATTGTATTTATTAAGATTTTTATTATTGTTAGTATAGTTTATTTATTGTAAAGAGTGCAGTTTATTTAAAATATCATCCAAATGGGTCACTTTTATTTTGTTTTATACAAACGTATCGTTTACTTGGCATATTTTCAAAATAAACATTTAGTAAGTCTTTATTTTGGCCTTTTTTATACCAAAAATTAACCGAACCGAGCCTTCCTTGAAACTGAACCAAATGGAAATGTGATTTTAGCGTACCCTTACACCCCTACCAAAAACCATTTGATCACCATCAAACTGGTTGGCCCACTATGTGAGCGTGCTACTTATGGGACTGAGTTTATTGTGACTCCTCAGACTGATGAAGTCCTTTGGATGAAGGATGAAATGCTTCAACCAAAAAAACAAAAAAGAAACCATCCAGAGGAGCTGACTTAACTTTGTTGGATTTTTTTACCTGGATTATTGAGAATGAACTTTGATGTGATTTTAAGCATTATAAAAACAAGAAAGCAGTCTCCTCAAATGATAGGGACGGCCGATGTATATGGTGGTGGCCATCTTGGATTTTAACATGGCAGTCCAATTTTTGAAAGGAACCTATCTTATGTCTGGAGGCAGCCACACACCAAAATGAAAGTCAGTACCTCACTTCTTTTTCAAGTCATCACGCTCACAACATGCATGGACGGACAGAGAGGGCATGTCCAATTCCCCCTTGAAGCTCCATGATGGGGGTCTAGGCCTGTCATGATAACAAATTTTGCTGGGCGAGTAATTGTCCCAGAAATTATTGTGATAAATGATAATATTGTTTGAAATTTGACAATAATTAATAATTATTGTCAAATTCAAGAAGTAATGTTTAATTTGTTTTGCACGTAGTACATTTTTTTGATCACTGGATAGCAGTATAAAACTGTTTGAAGTGAAGGATGGATAGTGAGGGAGCGAGCAGTGTGTCTCAAAGAAAAATGGGAGGGAGGTCCCTTGACGTGACAAGGGTTGTCTCTCTTCGGTTCACAAAATGGCGGATGCTTGGTGTGGTTTGAGCTCTTTAGCATGGCATTTTTCACACAAAGCTTTTAATAATAATAATTATTATTTTTTTAATCATTAAACAAGTTCTCAGCTTCTTTTTGCAGAGATAACTTTTTACGTGAAGGCACGGGTTTCAACCGTGAATTTTGGAACTTCGACAAGACAGAGGTTTTTCTCCCCCGAGGTCGGCCTGTTAGCTTAGCTCGTAGCTTAGCTTTTCAGCTTAGCTGCTTTTAACGATCCAAAAATGTGATTCTGGACAGTTAAAACAGATTTTAAAGAGAAAAAAAGAGAAAGGGAGGGGTCAGTGAAGAGCGCTCGAGTTGAGCTTTTTGTCATCCAGTGTCTTCAGTAGAAAGAGAGAGACAAAGAAAACATAAAACCGATAAATTAAAAACGAGGTTGATAATTTTCATCTATAACGCAATTAATTGATTTATTGTTTATCACGACAGGCCTACGGGGGACAACTAATCTGTACATCTAGTGAATCCAGGGAGTTTTGTAGAGCCACACCAGCCTGATGCCTCACATCATGGGACACTTCAGAGTAGAACAAGATCCAGCCCTTCTTAAGGAGATCAGAACCCACACTGTGCAGTGTGCACCGAGGTGGACCCAACCAGTTGGTGTCTCTTAACCTCGCACACAGGAGCTGGCTCCTTACCCACCAGAGAAGTGATGCTCCATGTCCCAAGAGCCAGCTTCTGTAGGCTGGGGTCAGAGCACTGACACCTTTGTATGCTACCTGTAACACACCACACAGGACCTGTATGGGCCCTACTGCAGGTGGTACACCCACAGGAAACTCACACATGGCATGTAAGTAAGGTCATTTCCAAACCATTGTACCTTCTTTCTTTGTCATATCACAAGCACACAACTCATTTTATGCTGAAATGCCAGCAACTTAGAAGAAACCACTTTTTCCCCTCCAAGATGATACTAATGAAAAATAAAAACACAAGAATGTGCATGAACAAAGGTCGATTTCCTTTTTGTATTCCAGAGCTGAAATAATCTTATTAAATTATCCAGGGCTCACTGTTCACAACAAGTCGGAAAACAATCAAGATTCCAAACAGCACCAGGGTAAGACTAAAATTTTAGTTAATTCAATGCATGTCTAACTCAAATACAATGTGTAATCAATGTCATATCCGTAGACTTGCCATTAGGCCTGTCGCAATAAACAATAAATCAGATAATCGCAAGATAAATGAAAATTATCAACCTCATTTTCATTTATCGACTTTATCTTTTCTTTGTGTCTCTCTTTCTACTGAAGACACAGGATGACAAAAAGCTCAACGATCCAAAATTTCGTTTTTGGATCGTTGAAAGCAGCTAAACTGAGAAGCTAAGCTACAAGTTAACTAACAGGCCCACCTCGGGGATAAAACCTACGTCTGGTCGAAGCTCCAAGATTCATGGTTAAAAGCCGTGCCTTCATGTAAAAAGTTGTTTTTCTCTGCAAAAAGAAGCTGAGAATTTGTTTACTTATTTTTTTAAATTAAAAGCTCTGTGTGAAAAACACTACGCTAAAGAGCTCAAACCACCGAGCGTCCGCCATGCCACCATGTCAGCCCATATCAAGTCAAGGGTCCTCCCTCCCATTTTTCTTAGAGACACACTGCTCAACAGTCCATCCTTTGGTTCAAACAGTCTTTTACTGCCATCAGGTGGTCAAAAAAGGTACTACACCCCAAACACATTTCTTTGAAAATTTGACAATTAATTATTGTTAAATTTCAAACAATATTACCGTTTATCACAATAATTTCTGAGACAACTGCCCAGCAAAATGTGTTATCGTGACAGGCCTACTTGCCATTGAGACAGAGCTCTACCATTACAAAATAAGAACAAAACACCACTCTGAAAAAGTTGGACCTACCTCAGAAGAAGAGAGGAAGGGATGACTGGACCCAGATATTGTCAGGTAGTTGTCGCTGCCTCCAGGGAACTAAACAAATCCATGTGAAAGAAAAAAGTTTTATGTAGCCAGTTTAAAACAAAGGGTGCACAATGATGGCAGTCATCACAGAAGTCAAACAACGTACCACATATATACGTCCCTCGACAAACTTTTATACAGCAATTTATAGCAATGGCCTGGACAAAAGAAGACCTTGTTTGAACTTTGGCCTTGGTGCTGGGGAGACGAAAAGTGTGCACGACACTCCGTCTAGTGACAATCAAGCTTCGGTAAATAATCTTGGATGGAAACAATGTTATGGGCGAGACAAAAGAAAGGTGGCAGCTATAGCATGACACATCCGCCTCTTACCGAGCGTATAATAAAAACTGACTGGACGCTTTTCACCAACAATTTTAACTTCGTTTCCAAATTGGACCAAAATTAACAACCACAAGTGACGCAACAGACTAAGAGTTCAACACAGCAACACACACCGACCAGTGTAGAGTGAGCGAGGGGTGAAACTGCAGAAACTGGACGTTAAACATTAGTGAGTCTGAATATAGAGAATCTGTGGAGAACCGACGAGAGCTGATCTCAAGTGTCAGATCATTAGTCAGTCCCCGAGTAGCTGACCACCCTTGGTTCCTGTTGTTGACCTATCTGTAGCCCCCCGTTTATCATCTAATCTACTACAGAATAGTTTATTATAGGACTACAAATATGGACCAGTTTCTGAAAGATAATCTACATCATGTTTTCGAGATGGACATTCAGGACTGTAGCTTCAGATGTTTTCCGTCATAAAGGGTGCTCCCATTTGTCTTCTTCTGTAGGCTGGTCCATCTTCATCGAGTCATCCTCCTCCATCTGACTCTGTCCTCACTCCAACTACCTCCATGTCCTCTCTAACTGCGTCCACATCTACAGTGAGGAAAATAAGTATTTGAACACCCTGCGACTTTGCACGTTCTCCCACTTAGAAATTATGGAAGTGTCTGAAATTTTCATCTTAGGTGCATGTCCACTGTGAGACATCATCTAAAACTTTTTTAAAAATCTGGAAATCACAATGTATGATTTTTTTTATCATTTATTTGTGTGTTACTGCTGTAAATAAGTATTTGAACACCTGTGAAAATTAATGTTAATATCTGGTACAGTAGTCTTTGTTTGCAGTTACAGAGGTCAAATGTTTCCTGTAGTGTTTCACCAGGTTCACTGCAGCAGAGAGTTTGGTCCATTCCTCCACACAGATCTTCTCTAGATCAGCCAGGTTTCTGGGCTGTCACTGAGAAACACAGTTTGAGCTCCCTCCAAATATTTTCTGTAGGGTTTAGGTCTGGAGACTGGCTAGGCCACTCCAGAACCTTGATATGCTTCTTACAGAGCCACTCCTTGGTTCTCCTTCCTGGCTGTGTGCTTCAGGTCATTGTCATGTTGGAAGACCCAGCCACGACCCATCTTCAATGTTCTAACTGAGGGAAGGAGGTTGTTCCCAAAATCTCACAATACATGGCCCCGGTCATCCTCACCTTTCTTAGGATCATCGATACACCACGAGGTGAGATCTTGCATGGAGCCCCAGTCCGATGGAGATTGACAGTCATGTTTAGCTTCTTCCATTTTCTAACAATTGCTCCAACAGTTGATCTTTTTTCACCATGCTGATGGCAACTGCCCTGTAGCCCTTTCCAGCCTTGTGGAGATCAACAATTTTGTCTCTGGAGTCTTTGGACAGCTCTTTGGTCTTAGCCATGTTAGTAGTTGGAGTCTTACTGATTGTGTGGGGTGGACAGGTGTCTTTATGCAGCTAACCACCTCAAACAGGTGCTTCTAATGTAGAATAATACGTGGAGTGGAGGTGGACTAACAGGTCTTTGAGGGCCAGAACTGTTGCTGATTGGCAGGTGTTCAAATACTTATTTGCAGCAGTAACACACAAATAAATTTAAAAAAAAAATCAAACATTGTGATTTCTGGATTTTGTTTTTAAGATGATGTCTCTCACAGTGGACATGCACCTAAGATGGAAAGTTCAGACCCCTCAAAGATTTCTAAGTGGGAGAACTTGCAAAGTTGCAGAGTGTTCAAATACTTATTTTCCTCACTGCATTTCTAACATCCTTCTACCAGTATACCCACTGTCCCTCCTCTGGACATGTCCAAACCATCTCAGTCTGGCCTCCCTAACTTTATCTCCCAGTTGTTCAACCTGTGCTGTACCTCTCATGATCTCATTTCTAATCTTTTCCATCCTTGTCACTCCTAACGAGAACCTCAACATCTTGATTTCTGCTACTTCCAGTTCTTTCTCCTGTCTTTATGTCCATGTCTCCAGACCATACAACATAGCTGGCCTCACAAATGTCTTTTAAACTTTTCATTTGACCTTTGCTGACATCTTTTGTCACAAATCACTCCTGAAACTTTTCTACATCAACTCCATCCTGTCTGGACTCTCCGTTTCACTTCTTTACCACATTCCCCATTTTCCTGGACAGTGGACCCCAAGTACTTGAAGTCCTGCACCTTTGTGACCTCTGCTCCTTGTAGCCTCACTGTTCCACCAGCCTCCTTCTCATTCACACTTGTACTCAGTCTTACTACGGCTGATCCTTATTTCAAGAGCATGCCTCCACCTCTCCAACTTCTCTTCCACCTGTTCCCTGTTCTCACCACAAATCACAATGTCATCTGCAAACATCATAGTCCACGGGGATTCCTGCCTGACTTCATCTAGTCGGTCCATCACCAGAGCAAACAAGAGGGGGCTCAGAGCTGATCCTTGATGTTCTCCACCTTGAATCTATCTGTCACTCCTACAGCACATCTCACCACTGTTCTGCTGTCCTCATACATGTCCTGTACCAGTCTAACATACTGCTCTGCCACTCCAGATGTCTTCATGCAATACCACACCTCCTCCCTCGGCACCCTGTTATATGCTTTTTTCTAAATCTACAAAGACAATGGAGTTCTTTCTGACCTCATCTGTTATAACAAGACAAACTATCACTAAAGCACAAGACAATACAGTTTAGCCCAAACATCTGTAATCTGGATATACATTATAAAAGAGTGCACAAGAAAACGGGTGGGGTCTGTTTCAGATTGTGATAACCAATGAATTATATATATTAAATGAAAATGCTTACTGGTCAACGAAAATACACAAGAACCTGAAATCCATGTTTAATGAGAGAAAAAAATAATCCCACTGTTAGTGGTTCCCAACACTGGTCTCTGAGGAACACCACCTGCATGTTTTAGTCGTTTCCCTGCTTCAACACACCTGATTCAATTATTTAATTACCAAATCATTCAAAGCAGGTGTGTCAAAGCTGGGAAACGGCTAAAAAATGCAGTATGGTGTTCCTCAGGGATTACGGTTGGGAACCACTGGTTTAGATGATCAAGAGGTTTAATTTACAGAGTTTGGGGTTATTCTGTATATTTAGATTCAGTTCTTTCTAAACTGTGAACAAATTTTAATTGATTATTGTATTTATTGGACTTTTGGCTAAGAGAAAATACTAGTTTGATGTAAAAGCCTGAGCCAGATGGTTTCACTACAAGAGCCAGTGGCGGTCACCTTGCTGTCAGAGTCAAACCCATTGAAGGACTGCGGGTCCAGGAACTCCGGATCACCGTGCTGTCCGGTACCGTCCGTTAAATCCGAGTAAAAATTCAGGTCCATCTTTTCAGCTGGGCCTCATGTGTTCGCTGAGAAGCCTCTGGATTTCCTTCCTCCGTGTGGTCGAAATGTCTGAGGCTGAACGATCAGGTAGCTCTAAAAGCCGTAAAAATTACCGCCACGATATTAGCACCGGTTTGAGTTCCGAGGCGGATAATGGCCCAAACTGAGCATGTGTGATCCAGCAGCGGTTCCGACGATAACCTGTCCGCTGTCTGTGTCGCCGCCGGGGTAAACGAGGCTGTTAACAACCTTGTTCTTGCTGACTTGTCTCCACCGCCACGAGTTTAGCTTTAGCTGGCTTTGACGCAAAGCTGCGGAGCTCCGTCCAACAGCAGCCAGGCGCTCGTTTGTCTGTCGGTCCGCGAACGCCTCATTCAGTCATCGCCTCGAGCGCGCTCGGCCGCGTGCAGCTACAGGGCTGATCTGTCCTTAGAGGTGCCCGAACCGGTCCAAGGTGTCCGTCTGACAGATTGACCGAGGAGAACCCGTCCCTGAGACGTGTTGGCCCGGGACAGGACGCTCAATAGATCCCGAGACACGGATCATGGATTAGATCAATGAGAAGCGCCAGGCTGATCCGGGACAGACCGGATGTGTGGCAATGTGGATTTCAAAATAAAACGCAGTCAGTGACGTTCGACTTTAAAAAGTCAAATTCAATACATTTTGAAGTTTATGTGGGAAACTATGACCGAGTACGTCCTGATGCATGCTCAATAATTCCGGTATGACAATCCAACAAGGCAGAGTCAGGTTCTCTGGACAGCTTCTTCTTGTTGAAACATTTCGTCTTTTATCCAAAAGACTTCTTCAGTCTGTGACCCTGCAGTAAACTCAGTCTTATAAACAGCACCTTATCATAGTGGATCAACCAGTTTGCTGCTGACAGTCAGAACTAGCTGCTCACATGGAGGACCATCAGCTTAACAATAGATCTAATTGGTCGTTAGTGCCCTGTAGGCCTGTCACGATAACAAATTTTGCTGGGCGATTAATTGTCTCAGAAATTATTGCGATAAACAATAATATTGATAGCAGTGTTTCCCCTACCATTATACAAGCGGGGCGCCCCGTCAACAGAACCGAGCGCCCCGTCTACCGAACCCCACCCCCAACCACCTGTCAGCAGTGATGTAACGCTAAACTAGCGGCTTGCAATGCAGGTGTGCTAGCTAAAAAGCTAAAGGCAGCCTTGTCCTTCATGCTGAATCCTCACGATGAACGCACCCCCACCACTCGAAAACTGTCGGTACAAACAACGCACGGCTCAGATGTGCGTCGGTCTCTCCCCCCGCCTACCCCACCCCGCCTTCGCCAAAAAACTGTCGGTTCAGACAGCGCGCGGCTGAGATGCGTCTCTGTCTCGCTCCTCTCACACACCCTGCTCTAAAACTGTAAAACTGTCAGTGCAAACAGCGTGCGGCTGTCTCTGTGTCCCCCACCCCCTCTAAAACTGTTGGTTTAAACAGTGCGGCGCGCAGCTTAGGACGAGTCTCCGTCCGTCCACCCCCCCGAACAAAAATCACGGACAAGATGAGTGCCCTGCCATGGCAAGTTATCTAGGGGAAACACTGGATAGAAATTTGACAATCAGTAATTGTCAAATTTAAGAAGAAATGTTTAATTTGTGGGCAGCACGGTGGCGCAACTGGTAGAGCTGCTGCCTCTCAGCGAGCAGGTCCCTGTTCAAACCCCGGTCCAGGGGCCTTTCTGGGTGGAGTTTGCATGTTCTCTCCGTGCATGCGTGGGTTTTCTCCGGGTACTCCGGTTTCCTCCCACAGACCAAAAACATGCATGTTAGACTGATTGGTAACTCTAAATTGTCCCTAGGTGTGAATGAGAGAGTGAATGGTTGTTTGTCTCGTTTGTCTCTGTGTCCCTGTGATGGACTGGAGACCCGTCCAGGGTGTACTCTGCCCCTCGCACAGTGATTGCTGGACATGGGCACCAGCGACCCCCGTGACCCAAAATGGAATAAGCGGGTAAAGATAATAGATGGATGGATGGATGTTTAATTTGTTTTGCATGTAGTACCTTTTTTCGATCACCAGATGGCAGTATAAGACTGAACCAAAGGCGTTCCAAGGAGTTCACAAGTAAGGGAGTGAGCATGTCTCTAAGAAAAATGGGAGAGAGAACCCTGTCATTCCCCGATCTGTTACTGAAGCACGGTCCGTAGTGTACTTCCGAGTCGCAAAGATCGCGGTCGTTTATGAATAAAAACTGTCTTAATTTACTTAGAAAAGTACGTGCTCTATCTCCATCGATCTTGATGCAGATAATTTACGCCACTTGTATTTCTGTTACAAATCATTTGTTAAGATGATATGCGACGCATTAGACCTGACCCCCAGCCTGGACTGAGTGAGAAAAACCCTGCAAGATACAGAATGAATTATTTCCATGGTGAAACTGCGCCGCTCAGTGGTGAAGCTGCATATCATTTTAACCATGACGTAAATATGTCAATGATTTTAACGGAAATACGAGTGGTGTAAATTAGCAACATGAATATTGGCGGAGATAGAGCACGTACTTTCCTAAGTAAATTAAGACAGTTCTTACTCATAAATGGAATTATACCAGTACATTTTCCTTAATCTAGCATAGTCAATGGTGATCCGTGCGACCCGGAAGTATTCCTTTTAGCGTATTTGCAAATAGGGCAGCACGGTGGCGCAACTGGTAGAGCTGCTGCCTCTCAGCGAGCAGGTCCTTGGTTCAAACCCCGGTCCAGGGGCCTTTCTGGGTGGAGTTTGCATGAAGTTCTCAGCTTCTTTTTGCAGAGGAAAAACTTTTTACACAAAAGCACATGTTCTGTGATTACGGTTTCAACAGTGGATTTCGGAGCTTCGACAAGACGGAGGGTTTTTTCCCCCGAGGTCGGCCTGTTAGTTTAGCTTCTCAGCTTAGCTGCTATTAGCGATCTAAAAACGTGATTTTGGATGGTTAAAACAGATTTTAAAGAGAAAGGGAGGGGCCAGTGAAGAGCACCTGAGTTGAGCTTTTTGTCATCCAGTGTCTTCAGTAGAAAGAGAGAGACATGAAGAAACAATAAAGCCGATAAATAAAAATAAGGTTGATAATTTTCATTTGTCGTGCGATTAATTGATTTATTGTGACAGGCCTAGTGCCCTGATGGCCTCTTGCTATTCACAGCTGAGTGATGCTTACAATAACAGCAATGTAAGACAGTGGAAGTTGAACACAGGAGACCCCTGCATCTGTTGAAAGAAGCCCATCCAGAGGACCTGACTCAACCTGGTCAGATATGAACTTACTTATTGTTGAAGCCCCTCAGTTTGTAGAAATAAGAGTTATGTCTGACAGAAGTTGTGAGATAGCGGCTAGTCCAAATGCAGCTAACTTAAATCTACAAATATTATAGTCGTTTGTGAAAATGGGACTTAAAAAATACTTCACACCATTGTTGCTTTTGTATCACATTTACATGGAGTTAGTTCTGTGATTACTTGCAATTAGGGATGGCCATTTGAATCAAAATCACTTTTCAAATGTGTATAATTTAATTTCTCCTTGAATATTCTCTCCAGCCCTCTGGCTCAGGACACCTAACAGCCCCCCGCTCCAGTTATAGGACCAAGTTGCAAATACTCACACACCTTTCAACACATTCTTGTTTAGTCCTTTACTTATGCAGGAACAAGTTATAGCACAAGTGTTCGGACAACAAGAAACTGTCTAAAAGCAGGAGAAGCATCTTAGCAAGCTCTAATCTCAGCTGCTGCTTTAGGATTGACTGACTGAATCATGTGACACATGACTGATCTTTATATTCCTTCAGTTTCACCTGTCCAGTAAATATAAACAGAGGTTCATGCAAACAATGAACTGTCAGTTTTACTAGGGATGCACAATATTATAGGTAGGCCTGTCACAATAACTAATTTTGCTGGGTGACTGTCTCAGAAATTATTGCGATGAACGATAATATTGTTTGAAATTGAACAATAATTATTTGTCAAATTCTAGAAGAAATGTTGATTTGTTTGGTGTGTAGTACCTTTTTTGACCACTTGATGGCAGTATAAGACTGTTTGAACCAAAGGATGGATAGTTGAGCAGCCTCTAAGAAAATTGGGAGGGAGGGCCCTTGACGTGACATGGGCTGACATGGTGACATGATGGATGCTTGGTGTGGTTTGAACTCTTTAGCATAGCATTTTTCACACAAAGTTTTTAATTAAAAAAAATCAGTAAACAAGTTCTCAGCTTCTTTTTGCAGAGAAAAACAACTTTTTAGACGAAGGCACGGGTTTCAACTGTGAATTTTGGAGCTTCGACAAGACGGAGATTTTTTCTTGAGGTCGGACTGTTAGCTTAGCTTCTCAGTTTAGCTGCTTTTTAACGATAAAAAATGTGATTTTGGACGTTAAAACAGATTTTAAAGAGAAAAGAGAAAGGGAGGGGTCAGTAAAGAGCACCGGAGTTGAGCCTTTTGTCATCCGGTGTCTTCAATAGAGAGACACCAAGCAACGATAAAGCCGGTAAATGAAAATGAGGTCGATCATTTTCATTCATCATGAGATTAATTGATTTATTGTTTATCGCGACAGGTCTAATTATTGGCGTGGTATCGTATCGGACAATATTAGTGTTAAAGTTAAATATCAGCCATTCCATCAAAATAATCACCGATATAAAAGACGCTGTTTTTGTACGACAACCCAGTGACAAGGATGTCTGCAGCACCAGCACAACGTGATGACGTCACTCGTGTCTACCTGATCTGATCACGGCGGAGAGGAAGAAGTCAAAATGTTAGTGATGTGGAAGTTTTTTCGTTGGGATGTTGGATTCAGAAGATTTATGGACTCCGTTGAGCCTCACTACATCGTCCCCAGTCAGAGATATTTTTCCGACGTAGCCTTACCCGAGTTACAAGCCGTCATTTCTGACGTCATTGAGAAGCTAATAGCTGATAGCACTTGGGTGAGTTTTACCACAGACATTTGGACACCAACGTCTACACACAAAAACAAGTGAACTCTGCCAGCAGTCCCTATTTTACCGTTACTTTCTCAAGTTCACGAGTAGACCATCGTTAGATCAAGATAACTCTGCCTTTGTTCTTGTTTTCTGGAGAAATCAATCATTTGTTTTCTCATTATCGCAACAAGACGGTACAAAAATAAGTGGCTCTTGTATCCTGATGCATGCTCAATAATCCAGGTAGATAAATCTAACAAGGTTAAGTCGGGTCCTCTGGACGCCCGGGGTCTTCAGGGAAACTAAACAGCAAACTGGTTGATCCACTATGGGAAGGGGCTGCTTATACGACTGAGTTTGTTGCAGCTCCTCAGACTGAAGAAGTCCTTTGGATAAAAGACGAAACATTTCAACAAAGAATCCATCCAGAGGACCTGACTCAACCTGGTTAGAAGTGTTTCTCGTGTTCCACCCAGTTTAACCATTCTGTATCGCTGTCCTGACGCATTGATTGACGATCTATATCAGGAAGACAAGTCACGTTTGTGAAACTACTGGCTCACTGAGACACTTTCAGCTTCGGTCTGTAGCTGACATAGATGTCCTGATTTCTGAGAAAGAAGGGAACCTTTTGTTTTTTGTGATTTCAAAATTATTTCTAATAATCAAGACAAAACTAGTTTGTCTAACTCAAAATAACATTATTTCGAGAAAAGGCACTTTGCCGTCTTAGTTAAGGTTTATTACAAACAAAACTCAATGACCGTGTAAAAACAAAATCAGAATCTAATTTGTCTAACAGACGACCCACTGAAGACTTCAAGTTTACTCAAATGAAGCAGCTGTTTATCACAAGCAAGCTGTTAGAAAAATACAATTAAATCAAGAAGCCCTTTCAATAAAGTAGTAAAAAGGCAACCTGTAGTATTGGAGATCAAACGTATAGTTTCCCTTCAGCTGTAAACTAAATATAAAAGTGCATAATTCAAGCTGATCTGTTTTATCTTTCTTACTGGTTAGGTACCTTTTGTATTTTCCATCTGAAACACTCCATTATTACTTTAATAATGTTATTCTACCTTCATCAAAGAACTAAAACATCTGTTTTATTGAAGCGGCTGGGATGAGAACCAGCACCTCCAAATCTGAGGTCATGGTCCTCAGTCCGTAAAGTGTGGCTTGCTGTCTCCAGGTCGAGGTTCTGCCTCAAGTGGAGGAGTTCAAGTATCTCAGGATTTTGTTCATGAGTGAGGGATGAATGGAGCGTGAGCCTGACAGACGGATCAGTGTCTGCAGTATTGTAGACTCTGTGCCGGTCCACTGTGGTGAAGAGGGAGCTGAAATGTAAAGCGCTCTGTTTACAGGTCAGTCTATGTTCCTGCACTCATCTTTGGTCACAAACTCTGGGTAGTGACCGAAAGAATGAGAGTGTGGATATAGGTCGGAGTTCAAAATGAGTTTTCTCCACAGGGTAGCTGGACTCTCCCTCAGAGTTAGGATAAGAAGTTCAGGTATCTGGGAAAGACTCGGAGTAGAACCACTGCTCCTCCACATTGAGAGGAACAAGCTGAGGTGGTTTGGACATCTGGTAAAGGTGCACCTTAGGTGCACCTAGAGAAGTTCCCCAGAAATATCTAACTGGGATGAGACCCTGGGGAAAGACCCAGGACACCCTGGAGAGACTAGTCTCTCGGTTGGCCTGGTAACGCCTTGGAGTCCTCCCTGAAAAGCTGGAAGAGGTGGATAGAGATGTCTGGGCCTCCCTGCTCAAGCTGCTGCCACTGTGACTCAACTCCAGAACAAATGAAAGATAATGAAAAGATAGATATGTGTTATTATTTCAAGGCACTACTAAAACAAATTTCCATTGTAGCATCAAATCTTTCGAGCGCAAATTCAGGGAATGTTTGGTTATTCGTTGATGTTCTTAATGATTTTTATTGACAATGCTTTATGAGCCCAAACTGTGAAATAAATGGACACAGTTCAGATCAGTTTGCGATTGCTCATAAGGTTTTGCAGTGGATTGCTTTTATTTTGAAAGCCAGGACAGGAAGTCGCTCATTACGTCGCTCTAAAACCGGAAATATAGTGGGTTAATATTTTTGGCTACATTTGACAGTATGCTGCCGTCACACAAGCTACTTAATGATGATGCAACAAAAACTTTAGCAAGAAGAGTAAAATGAGTCCAAAGCAAACATTAAAGGAACTTCATATTCTACCAATAAGACTAAAATTATCTTTCTCTGTGAGGCTGGAGAAACAAAAACCATCAAATAATAAACCTTTCCAGAAACTAACCTCCCACAACTTATTAAGACTTGAAGTGTGGAGTAAAGGTTCAAAGTTCCTCTTTAAATGTGAAAATCGTTAAGGACGACATGAATTGTCAGTTTAAATGAAGAGAAAGTCAAATAAATCAATCTGTCCCGAGTGATCCGCTCACCAGGAACATCTTTGTGTTTGTCACAAACCAAACATCGTGAGTTGTTCACAAAAGTGATTTTAAAACATCAAACATTTCTAGTACCGACTACTCTTACCTCCATGCTCACCCTCAAATGAGCTTCACCTTCTCTTTTAGTTTTATTTTCTTAAAATCCTACTTTTCCCACTGAAGTTCGTCCACAAAATATTTCCTCAAATATCACAACATGGCACCGGCTTCCAGATCGTACGCGCACACGGAAGTGACCTCATCACGCAAAACCTTTCAAACTAAAACGGATTTACCGCTTTGAAAAACTCAAACTAAAACAGGCTGTTTTTATTGCAAATTATTAACTCAATCTGTAAAATTGACAAATCACAAAAAACATTAAATGAAATTGTATGTGTGAACTATTTTTATTTGTTATAAATACTTAAGTCTTATGTGTATATTTGTAAGCTATTGGAAATTTTGTTTTGCAACTTTGCATTTTTGTCTTTCATATTATTGCAGACCACTGTGGATTTATTTATTTGATAGATGCCACTTAAGATAAATTAATTACTAGTCAATAACCTGGCCTATTGATGCAGTCAGAGTAAACTACAATATTATCAATGAGTTTATTTCTATAGCACATGAAAACAAGAAAAGTTGACCAAAGTGTTTTACAGTTTAGTCAAATTAAAATAAACATTTTGTGCCACTCAGGATCGGTTTGTCTGTGTGTGTTAAGGTTGCAGTTTTGCATAACAAGAAATAAACTCATTTAACAACAAAGTCCATGCTCAATAATCCAGGTATACAACCCAACATTTTTCAGTCAGGTCATCTGGACAGTTTCTTTTTTTTGTGCTGAAACGTTTCGCCTTCGATCCAGAAGGCTTCATCAGTCAAGGAAACACACAACGAAATTGATTCTTCTCCCAACAGCTTACTCCAAAGTGGAACAAACCAGTTCTGCTTGTGATAAGATGGTCTCTTTGGTACGCCCCCTCCTCCATTGCCAGCCCTCTTCCTTGTTGACAGTCGTGCCAAACTGGTTGAAAACACAAAGTCCATGCTCAATAATCCAGGTATAAAATCCAACATTTTTCAGTCAGGTCATCTGGAGAAAAAAAAAAAAAGAAACTGTCCAGATGACCTGACTGAAAAATGTTGGAAACTCATTTAACGTTGGTGCAGAACACAAAAACACCACAAACGTGCGTTTCTTCAAAATTGCTTTATTCACATTTTTTAAGCAGTTTTTTTTAATGAGTTTTGTAACAATGCAATTAAAAAAAGATAAAATGCAGGATCTTGCTGTTTTTATGTATAAGCAAAACAATGTTTAAGAAGTATTCAACATAAAACCATTCCTGCGCAATACTGTAAAAAGAAAACAATAAAAGTGGAACAAACGACTAGTTCAAAGACCCTAAATTGATTGATGAGCTCACGAGCGCTCATCCCTTCATGAAGCAGGACGTGAGCCGGTGTACTTTAAGGTGACACGAGTTTTCAGACAACAGACTGGAATGAACACATTTACACAAACATATACACACATGCAGTGTAGTGGGCCACAACGGCCCAGTTTGTCAAAAAACATCTTGTAGAGCCTTTACTACAAACGAACTTCTCTTTAAATAACAAACACTGAACATGTCTGAACTCTTCTCTGCCGTCCAGAGCTTTGTCTTCCATTGCACTTGGCATCGTTTTGGTTTCTCCAGGAAGTGAGACGTCCACAAATCCAGGAACACGGAACAAAAACAGCCTCTGATGTCTCCTGGTTCTACTCCTAAACTGAGGCTGAACGCCACGAGGGCTGTCGGTGTCAATAAATAAATTAAAACCAGACGATAAAGTTATCAACTATCAGATCAAATTCTGATGATTTGAAAAGGAACAAATGTTTAAGAATTGCTCACGTGACTAAATTATTAACAACAGAACGTATTCAAAGGTGAAGGGTTGTACTTTAAAGGCACATTTTCTCAATAAATTTGACTTGGTCTCAAAATGTTGCCCTTATCAATCAATAAATTATCGTTGCGTCTTCTGGAATGTAAATCTGAAATTTCCTTTAGTTTTGTCTCAAAATAAGTTCAGTATTGTTCAGGACTGTGTTTAAATTTCCAGATTTAAAATATACTAAGAAGCAGTAAATTCATACAAATAAAAACATTTAAAGAATTAAACATGTGCAAATAAAACAGTAAAGTTTACCTTCCAGAACAAACACTGCTGGGATATAAAACAAACGTCTCATCGGTGAAACTGCTGAGATGTTGTTGATGTGGAAGTGTTTTAAGTCAAACATCTTTCACTCGTGCAGCGTGACCTTTGCAGACATTTCTCACAGCGCTGGAATAAACTTTTATGTGCTTTGAACTAAATAAATGAACACTCTTGTATTTTTAAACATTCAGACCTCACTAAACAAACTCCTATATTCTTCCAAAATACATTCAGTACGAAAAAACAACCCTGAGTCTCGTCAGTGGGACGCCCGCACTGATCATGCACTGTTTGTTTGTTTGTTTGTTTTTAAAACACACTGCTGGTCCCGTCAACAGATCAAAGAACTCTTAGGATGACACAAACAAACACACAAACACAACTGATTGCTGTTGTTTTTGAGGAGTCGTGTTGACATTTCTTCAGAGGTGGAATGGAAACCATGGAAACCATTTTGACGACAGTAAAAACGAGGAGAGCGCAGCAGTGATGGGTGTGAATGCAGCCAGTGACAGGCCCCCACCCTCCACCCCCACTCAAACCCTTTCCACTGATTTCTGGTTTGACACTGGCTTCCTGTGTTTGGCCAATCAGGAGTAGATGGTGATGACTTCACTTCCTCCCCCTCTGACCAGCAGGACCCGCTCCAAGCCTTCAGTCAGAACCTCCAAGAACTCCATGTCTGGTTTGTGAGTGAAGGAACACTTTCAGCGGGCTCCATGAGAAGATTAAGTGCTGCCGGAGGGCGGGTGACCATGTTTGTGTTTGTGCCTGTGCTTTGTTTGTCTCTTTGTTAGCAAAATATTAAATAGATCTATTAAATCTACTCTGAGAAATAACATCTGTCACATGAGATTTGCATCAAATCATTTTTGAGGTTTGACCAAAGCGACAACCTACAAACCGGATTCCAAAAAAGTTGGGACACTAAACAAATTGTGAATAAAAACTGAATGCAATGATGTGGAGATGGCAAATGTCAATATTTTATTCGTAATATAACATAGATGACAGATCAAAAGTTTAATCTGAGTAAATGTAACATTTTAAAGGAAAAATATGTTGATTCAAAATTTCACAGTGTCAACAAATCCCAAAAAAGTTGGGACAAGTAGCAATAAGTGGCTGGAAAAAGGAAATTGAGCATATGACGAACAGCTGGAAGACCAATTAACACTAATTAGGTCAATTGACAACATGATTGGGTATAAAAAGAGCTTCTCAGAGTGTCAGTGTCTCTCAGAAGCCAAGATGTTAAGAGGATCACCAATTCCACCATTGTTGCGCAGAAAGATAGTGCAGCAATACCAGAATGGTGTTACCCAGCGTAAAATAGCAAAGACTTTTAAGTTATCATCATCAACCGTGCATAACATCATCAAAAGATTCAGAGAATCTGGAACAATCGCTGTGCGTAAGGGTCAAGGCCGTAAAACTCTACTGGATGCTCGTGATCTCCGGGCCCTTAAACGTCACTGCAGCTCAAACAGGAATGCCACTGTCAAGGAAATAACAGAATGGGCTCAGGAATACTTCCAGAAAGCATTGTCAGTGAACACAATCCACCGTGCCATCCGCCGTTGCCAGCTGAAACTCTACAGTGCAAAGAGGAAGCCATTTCTAAGCAAGCTCCACAAGCTCAGATGTTTGCACTGGGCCAGGGGTCATTTAAAATGGAGTGTGGCAAAATGGAAGACTGTTCTGTGGTCAGATGAGTCACGATTTGAAGTTCTTTATGGAACACTGGGACGCCATGTCATCCGGACCAGAGAGAACAAGGATAGCCCAAGTTGTTATCAACGCTTCGTTCAGAAGCCTGCATCACTGATGGTATGGGGTTGCATGAGCGCTTGTGGCATGGGCAGCTTGCATGTCTGGAAAGGCACCATTAATGCAGAGAACTATGTTCAGGTTCTAGAACAACATATGCTCCCATCTAGACGTCATCTCTTTCAGGGAAGACCCTGCATTTTTCAACATGATAATGCCAGACCACATTCTGCAGCAATCACAACATCATGGCTACGTAGAAGAAGGATCCGGGTACTGAAATGGCCAGCCTGCAGTCCAGATCTTTCACCTATAGAGAACATTTGGCGCATCATAAAGAGGAAGGTGCGACAAAGAAGGCCCAAGACGATTGAACAGTTAGAGGCCTGTATTAGACATGAATGGGAGAGCATTCCTATTTCTAAACTTGAGAAACTGGTCTCCTCTGTCCCCAGACGTCTGTTGAGTGTTGGAAGAAGAAGGGGGATGCCACACAGTGGTAAAAATGGACTTGTCCCAACTTTTTTGGGATTTATTGATGCCATGAAATTTGGAAACAACAGATTTTTCCCTTAAAATGATACATTCTCTCAGTTTAAACTTTTGATCTGTGATTTGTGTTCTATTCTGAATAAAATATTAGATGTTGGCACCTCCACATCATTGCATTCAGTTTTTATTCACAATTTGTTTAGTGTCCCAACTTTTTTGGAATCCGGTTTGTATAATCATAAGACGATCGTCATTAAAACTCTGCTGATGTGAATTCTTTCACTCTTTACTTATTAAAGGCAAACATTTTAAAATGTGATATGTATAAATATTGTGAAAATTATAATTATTAATGAATATATCTATCGTGAAAAGGTTAAAATATAATCCCATTACGTTAAAACTGATCAGGTTTTATGTCTCTTCCCCACCCTTCACCCCCCATGACAGCAGTACCTGCAGCCACACAATAAACAAAGGTTGTGGTATTTTGCTACCTTGTTTTGTGTTGGTCCTAAGTATACACAAGTTTAGATATTTCTGCAGTTTATATAGTTGTTTACTATTTGGCGCACACATGTAGAGAACTTTCTTTGTCAAATCTTGCTGCAGTTTATTTGTTGTTTGCAATGATTTCACTTTTGTTTCTTTGAGCTGCCGGTTCTTGTGGCGATGCTGCCCTCGTGTAAACAGCTCAGTAGCATCACATCTGGAGATAGGTCTAACTGGACTGTACTATGTTGCATGTCAGCAGGGGGAGACGTTAAATATTGTAGATTCATTTCTTATGTTCGCCATTTGGTAACTTTGATACTGTAAACAGTTTCTTTCCTACGTTACTGTTTAAACATATTTTGACCAGTTTTGTTTTGTTGCTAACACTACTTGTAATTTAATCTATTTAATTTGTCCCCCACCCATGTTGACCTCTTTTATGGGCTTGGAATGTCCGTATATTGAGTTGTCTAAAACAGTCCTTCTCAAATAGTGGGGCGTGCCCCTCGCCCAGGGCAATGCCAGTGGGGGGGCGCATGTGACCTGGGGAACTTGTTTTTTTGCCGCAGGGAGTAGTTTTTTTTTAATTGTTTTTTACCATTCTCATTTTGTTTCGTGCGTTCCAGCAGCTGTTTGCTCGTATCGCTCAGACTTACTATAAAGTTATGAACAAATAACTGTCTTGTTGTTTTGGGAGCCATGCATGAACCGTGTCGCTCCCCCTCTGCTGCTGAGACATAAACTCCGAAACCTCAGCTGCTGTTTTTATGTCCATGCGCTCTGGACGTCCCTCACAGTGCTCATGCAACAAACAGTAAACTCAAGTGAGAGCGACACCTGCCCCCTCTTTCCTCTTTTGCGTTGGCAAAATGTTTTAGTTTTATCGATGAGTTTGTCAAAGTAATGTTTAATAAATGTTAGGACTCTATTCTTTGCTAACAAAATATATTCACCTCCTCAGTTAAGCTGCTGTTTTCATGACACTGTGGACTCTTTGTCACCCACAGCACGCAGGCGACAAAGAGTAAACTCAAAGCGAGAGGGTTACCTGCCCCCTCTTTCCTCTTTTGCGTTGACAAAATGTTTTAGTTTTATCGATGTGTGTGCTCATTGATCCCGACTTCTTCATTTTGATTTAAAAAAATCAGCACAAATTGTTTTATTCATTTTTGTTTTTATAGCTCAAGTGCTTTATATAACACTCATGAGTTAAAATGCTGCTGATCAATTTGAATTTATTATTATTTATTGATTATATTTAATTTTATTTCTCAGTATCAAATGGTCAAAAATGTTTACAGTTTAAATATGGATTTAAGTTTTTTTCAGGCAAATTGATGAACTTTAATTAGTTTCTGTTACAGACTAAAAAGTTAAAAAAGTTATTCTTCATTGTAAGTTGATCTATATTCTTTTTTTTAACTTTAATGTTAATAAGGACACAATGTTATGCAGAGGTGTACTTGTAACAATTTTATAGACAAATGATACTATTTAAAGTCGCGGCAGAGAGTCGGGGGGCGCGAAAGGTTTACGACTTCCGGGGGGGGGAATAATTGAGAAGCACTGGTCTAAATAAACTGAAAAAAAAATAAAATAAAATAACTCCCCCCCTTTTTTTTTGTTGTTGCAAATTTTCAGTGTCTCTCTTGCTGGTTTAAATGGACCCTGACCTGACGCCCCCCCCCTCCCCCCCCCCCAAAAAAAGCTTCAAGATGGTGCTATGAGTGGGCCAACAAATCAATTAAAGACGGTGCTTCATCTCATGAAGGTCTAAGGAGTGTGTAAACAACAACTAAGAATCCAAATGTTCAGAGCCTGTAATGAACACATGGTGTCAACATGAAGACAGTGAACGTCTCATCTTCAGTGTAAAAGGATACAGTTCTCGTCTCCTTCAGGGTTCTTCGGGGGTCCCGGCATGTTGAGCAGGACGAGTCGAGCATCGTGGGATTTATTGACGATGACTTCATTGAGTTTGACGGCAGTGTGCATCCGCCTGACGTTGGATTGGTCCCTGCAGGAACACAACAACACATTTAGCTCTTTATCTGAGACGGTGGCGCTGCAATCTATTTGGAGAGCGGTCGTCCTCACGGCTTGATGCTCAGCATGTCTCTGAAGCCTTCCGGTGTGGAGCAGCCCGAGTGCGTCACTCTGTGCTGCAACGTCTTCTCTTTGGTCCAGGTCATTTGAACGCGCCGATTGTGCTCAGCATTACTGCTGCTGGCTGGTCGTTCTCGCTCTCCTTCGGTTTCATCTTCATCGTCTGAGCCGATGCTGGTCAGATGCAGCATGGAGTTACGATCCTTCACCAGCTGGGCCTGGTTGGTACACAAACACAAGCATGTTTCATCTCCTCTAAAGCAGTTTTTATTTCTAGCCCATGCAATGCATCCCTCCTCTAACACCGACACCCTGACTCTGACTCGTCTCTCTGTCTGTTTGTACCTGTCTGTGTTTGTCTCCTTTCATGATGTTTGATGTGTGGACTCCAGAACCTCTGAACCTGGGGGAGAGATACACCTAGAGACAACACACGGTCACCTAACTTGCTAAAAACCCTACTGAGGCTGCATCTACTTCAACACTGGAGCACAACTACAGGGGCAAAACTAAGAGCTTAACTCCTGCAGAGAAAAAGGATCTGAGTCAGCTGAACTTCAGCAAGATGAGTGGAAGACAGGAAGGAAAATAAGATTAAGGTTTTTTGTGGACCGAGGTGTGACTGAGTTTGGAAGTAAGTCAAATTAAAGAAAACCAGAATGTAAAAAAGGACATCTGGCTCACGTAGTATACCACAGTTTGAAAAAGTCACGATCAAAACCATTACTGTAGTCCCTCAATACTTTGCGGTCCGACTTTCACGGACTCACTCTTTTGAGTGTTTTTAACATAAGATTGTACACGACACACAACTGGCTGATTGATGGGAGGCGACCAACCAGAGCATTGTGCTGAGGGGTGGACGGGCCATTGGGAGCACTGGGACATTTCCTGGTGGCCTGGCCCACTCAGTGATCACTGAGGGGCCCTCTCCTTTCTCTTTCTGAGGCTGTCTCTGCTCTGCTGTGACAGACAGCCTCAGAAAGAGAAAGGCGGGGGTGGGGTCTGTCTTTCCCCATCGTTACTGCTGTGGGATCTTCAGTGAGGCAGATACCCGAGTGAGCAGCATGGATTGTTGATTTAAAATAATCAAGCGCAACCTGAACCATGCCTTTGATCCAGCCCCTGGGCGATTACTGAGCGGGCCAGGCCACCGGGAAATGTCCCGGTGTTCCCGATGGCCAGTCCCCCCCTCAGCACAATGCTCTGGTTGATCGCCTGAACCTAATGTCATCATCACATCACTGAGACGCAGCACCGCAGCATACGGCTCTGTTACTACCTCGCTTGATGGCACAGAGGCCCTCCAGAGGTGTGCTGCCTTCGAGCTCCCTCGCTGCCTCGCTGCCTCGATGTGTCTTATGAAAGTACCGAGGCTGCCAGAACACGTCTCAGTCCTGGACTGAGGCCTCTTGTGAAAGAGCCTCATGACTGTGAGCAGGGGTGTAGAATGGGACTTTAAGCCACACATCCCTAATGCTCTGGTTCCAAAGATACAACATGGCAGCTTTTGTAAACTGGATCTTACTGGCTTTAACAACAACAGAAGGCAGGGCCATTTTGTCTAATACTTCCATATATGGTCAATATTTCTAACAGTAAACAGCTCAGGATAAGACTTAGAATTAATTTATTGAGACTGAAATAAGTCCAAAGCCATCCTCACTGGTACTTTGGACTGTTTCTGTCAACAAGACATAAATTAGAAAAGATTTACTTATGAGTTTATTGTTAAATTTTAATATTTTTGGCAGCATGGTGGCACAGTCGATTGAGCTGCTGCCTCTCAGCGAGCAGGTTACCCTGGTTCAAATCCCAGCCGGTGGCCTTTCTGGGTGGAGTTTGCATGTTCTCTTCGTGCATGCGTGGGTTTTCTCCGGGTACTCCGGTTTCCTCCCACAGATCAAAAACATGCATGTTAGGCTGATTGGTAACTCTAAATTGTCCCTAGGTGAGAGTGAGAGAGTGAATGGTTGTTTGTCTCATTTGTCTCCATGTGTGCCTGTGATGGACTGGAGACCTGTCCAGGGTGTTCCTTGCCTCTCGCACAGTGATAGCTGGACATAGGCACCATCGAGTCCCGCAACCCAAAAAGGAAGAAGCAGGTAAAGATGATGGATGGATGTTCGAGTCGCCTAAAAGTGAGAGTTCTATGTGGTCATAGATAAAAGTAAATTTTGAGGTTATAAGAATCCGTTCCCTTAGTTTGTTTTCACACCAGATAGTCCGGTAGACTCGGTTTGACTGGGGACCAATATTCATAACATTTTTTTACATTTGAGCTGGTGCGTTTGCATTCACACTGCACTGTGCAGTCGAGCCAACCTGTTGAACCAACCTGTTCCCCCGCTCGCCTGTGGGGGCGCTGCACCAAGAACTACTGAAAGAAACGACACAAAAACCTCTGAAGAAGACACTTCTTCTTCTTCTGGAAATAAAAACAAAAACGGAGTGGCGTCAAATTTGAGCGGTTTTAGGAGTTCTATTTTGTCATTTTTCAACAATGGACTCAGCATGAGCAGCAGATGAGGCAGAAGACCATGGAGAATGTTGTTTTTCACACAAGGCAGCTGACGGCTCCATATAAGGTCATAGAAATGTGTGTTTGTTTGCCCTGCGCTGTAGTCCACTTCCTGTTCTCGTTGTAGTTCCACTTCCTGCTTGCGGAGCAGTGCCCGGTCTGATTGCATTCACACTGTACTCGAACCGCGCTAGAGTTTTCTTCTACCGGACCGAGACCTAGGTTTATAGGCGGGCCAGAGTTCACCTTTTTGTTCCATGACAGAGTTCGATGGCACTTTCACACCTACCCAAACAAACCGAACTTCCTAGGCAAACAGGTTAGAGTTCAGGATAACAGGGCTGGTGTGAATGCACCCTTAGGTTCAGTGGTTCCCAACTGTGGTCCTCGAAGAACACTACCCTGCATGGTTTAATTGTTTCTCTGCTCCAACACCTGATTCAGTGATTTAATTACTTCCTCCAGTTCTGCAGAAGCCTGCTAATAGGGCTGGACGATATGGACCAAAATTAATATCTCGATATTTTTTTTTACAAAAATCACAATATACGATAAATATATCTCAATTTTTTCTTTCTTTCCATAAAGTAGTAGCAAAAATATATTTGAGTCAAAGCTTGGTCCCAATTGTCACACAGGCACATTACAGCTGTAACTCTACAAAATAAATGTCTAAAAAATAAAATAAAGTTTTTTCCTCTATAACAAAATCAAAAGCACAGCTGTGCACTTACAATTTAAACAGAAAAGATAGAGCAAAACAAAAGGCTGACTTGCTCTTTAAAAAGTATGATTATAATGCAGCTTTAGGCCTGAAATACCATCATTTTCACACCCATCAGGAATTTTGTAAGCAGAGTGCTCCTCTCAGTCCTCTGTTATTCAGACTATAGCCCCCAGTATACTCCCAAGTAAGTCCGTACGCGGAGGTACGAGCGTACCCCCGCAGGGCATGTACGCGCAAAGCTCAATTTTTATGACCGCGTACGTGTGTCGCACAATAAACTGCCCAGCGAAGGACTGTTTTGTGTGCGACACCTATGTATTAAATTCCCCTTCTTCCTCCCTGATCTGGCCTTTTCATTTGTTTTTTTTGCCAAAAGGCAACTGATCTCTTCCTCCTCCGTTGACACCATGACTGAAATGGTGAGAAATGAAGGAATTTGTCAAGAGCGAATTAAAATCAGGTCCAGCGTGGCTGCGGGAGGGTCTGGAGATTTCCGGTGGGCTGGTCTGATGTGTGGGCTGTAGAGCCAGCGCTCTCTGTTTTGTTCTATTTTTTAGATCTTTTTATTAACAACATATAAACACAGAACACCGCTGCAGCTGAGGCTGCCAGCGCTTGTTTTTTTTTTTTCCCGACCAGTCAATCAATCCAGTAGGCGTGTCAGCAAATGACCAATCGGCGACCTCAATTTGTCCTGAAGGTAAATGCCCCTTGTCTGTGAAGCTGCTCTGCAGCTGCTCAGGGTGGACGCTAGAGTATGAAGTCTCAACCCTCTGCGCACGTACGTGCAAACGGTGGTGTCCGGCGATTAAATGTAAACACTGAATGCAGCCGTGTCAATGAGGATTTTTTTTACTCAAACCAACATCCAAAAAACACTGCGTTTACCCTACCCGTGTAAATGGGGCCTAACAAAGACTGTAACAAACCCTATTGTGTGGATTTTGTAGGGCAATCTGCATGTATTTAGCTTAGCTCAGCAGCTTTAGAGATATGATAAGCTGCAGCTTTAGTAATCTCACGCCACCTTTCACTGTTCCTCTCGTACGGCACGGCACAAGTAAACGTTTTGCACCGTAGTTTGTGTCAGGGAAGGAAGCTGAGAAGTCTTCACAGTTGGGACTGCAGCACGAAGTTTCACGCACTCTTCATACTCCACTTTATGACGTTGTTTTAAATGGTGGAAAAGGTTCATTGTGCTCGAACCTTTCGTCAGGACCTGTTTACAGCATTGTCTACAGATTATATTTGTCTGCTGCTCATCTGACACATTAAATCCAAACCATTTCCAAATAACAGAGCCATCTTTTTTTCCTGCTCACCAGTTCTGCGACTTGGTCTCTCTCTATTTCGTGACTGTGGTGGCTTACGTGCTGCTCCACCTGGAGAGAAGCAAGAAGCAGGGGGAGAGCGTGTGGGTAGGGGCTGGGTTACGTATGCCCCATTTGCACTGCTCCAATCAGCCCCAACTCTGCTCAGCCCTACACACCCCTGCTCAGCCTGGCTCAGCTCAGCCTGGATTTGCACCTGCACTTTAGGACCGATTCAGGAAGCGTGTCCAGAATCCAAGTTCTGCTAATGAGTGTTCTGTGATGAGTTACTCAAAGCAGTCTGCTCCTCAGATAAATATTGAATTATAATTTTTATATATGAATGTCAGTGTTTCTCCTACCATTATACATGCGGGGTGCCCCACCCCGTCAACAGAACTGAGCACCCCGCCTACCAAACTGAACTTGCCTCTCCCACCCCCACCCGGCACTGACATATCACTACGCTAGCGGCACAAAATACAGGCTCTCTAGCTAAAAAGCCAAAGGCAGCACTCACATTGCCTCTTCCCTCATGTTGAACGCCCCCCGCCCCCACTCAAAAACTGTTAGTACAAGCTGCGCTCAGACATGTCCCGTCCCCTCCCCACCCATCAGCAAAAGTCATGGATGAGATGAGCACCCTGCAATGGCAAGCTAACTAGGGGAAACACTGAAAGTTTCTGTTAACTTGTTTTATATATGAATATTTCTGTTCAGTGCCCTGAGACAACTTCTGTTGTGACTTGGTGTTATATAAATAAACTGAACTGAATTAAATCTGATGAACCAGATTCTACAAAAACATTTATATTTAAATCTAAAAAAGTTAAGTCTGGTCTTCTGGACATTCTAAAAAACAAACAAAAAAAGGAGTAACGTTTCTTGTTTCATCCGAAAGACTTCTTCAGTCTGAGGTGCTGTATTCAGGTCATAAATAGCTATTTATAAGACTGAGCTGAATACAGCACCTCAGACTGAAGAAGTCTTTCGGATGAAACAAGAAACGTTACTCCTTTTTTTTTGTTTGTTTGTTTTTTAGAATGTCCAGAAGACCAGACTTAACTTTTTTAGATTTTTCTACCTGGATTATTGAGCATGCATTAGGATATCTATATTTAAAATTCTATATTTTTCTTCATCATTTGATGTATTTGCGCTCATTATGCTTTTGTTTCTTGCATACAGATTATTTTTTTAGCTTTGAATTAAAGTTCAGCTTTGATTTAAAGCTTTAATTTAAAGTGTAATGCTTGTTTTGTGATTTGTACATCTGTGGGTTAGAATAAAGTTGAACCAAAGGCTGCGTCTCTTCTTTAAACACGTTTGAGGGAAATATTCCTGAGAGATCCAATAATTTAGTCTTTTTATGATTTTTCAGCCGAATTAACTTTAATTAACAGATTATTTAATAAAGTCAAAGTGAAAACAGGATTTCATGATAAAGCCGGCACCGTTTATTTATTTTTAATCTTCACTGATAAAAACAACTTTTTTTTAATACATAAAATGTTTTTAAAAAAACGTTTCCACCCTTCGTCCCTGTCCTTCCGCCTGCCAGGGCTCGGAATCCGGCCTTTGTGAGCACACGAGGCCGGGGCTCAGGGCCCGGCCTCGCAGGCTTCAACAGGTCGGCAGCTCGTATGATCCTCCGCGGTGACACCGCTCGCTCAAATTTTGTCGTCGGGTCACCAAAAACAAAAAACGCCTGGACTTCAGCATTAAACATGGCGTTGTCATTATTGTTTTTAAAATCTTAACAATAGATCCAGCCGCTGCTCCGCATCCCAAGAAATTGCAAATGGCGGCTCAGTGAAAAGTTTCTGAGATCCAGTGACTCCTCCCCCTGACCAATCAGTGCCCTGCATTCACGTTTCGGTCCCAACTCAGCTCGACTGAGCTCGCTCGGTCCCACCAGAGAAGCAGGGACGAAAAGAGGTCCTGAATCAGCCTCAAATCAACTAAAAATACTAGCTAAAGTATTACTGCAAAAGGGTTCTTTCCGTGGCGGGCTGCCCAAAGTTGGGGCTTATTAGATGCAGAGCAAATGGGGCATTAGTGAGGGAGAGGAGTGGGGCCGTGAGGAGGGGGCACTGCAGTGTGGAGGAAGAAAGAAGAGACAGCAGAGCCGGCGGATTTCAAGTAGAACTATATAGTTTATATCGATATAATGTCAATTTATATTGCAAATTAAATTTATCTCGATATTCTAAAAATATCGATATATCGCCCAGCCCTACCTGCTAATCACCCATTCATTCAAATCAGGTGTGTCAAAGAGAAACAACTAAAACATGCAGGATGGAGTTCCTCAAGGACCACGGTTGGGAAAAGCTGGTTTAGTAAACAGCATGAACTGATTGGGAATAATATTGGTGTCTGTGTTGTATTTAGTTGTTTTCAGTTTGGATAGGAAAACAGATAAAAATCAAGCTGTAATATGTAAAAACATCAATATAGTTTTGTGTATTTTCACTTTATTTACAGAATATATAAACAAACATTACTGGATTGAAATATTTAGACTTCAAAATTACTGTGTATTTATTGTAAAGGCTCAAATCTTTTAAATGAAGTTTTCACTAAAGGATCAATGTATTGCTGATTATTAAAGCAATATTAAAATATAAAATAGCTAAAAACTTTTATACAGTGACCAATGATTGGCATTATGTTTGAAACATCTTTCATATACAATCACAGAATATAAAGTCTTTCCATTGATGTTTTTCTGAAGGGTTCCACTGCTCTCACAGAAGTTTTATTTATTCATTTCTACACAGCTCTACTTCAGGCAGCCTCTGTTTTACTAAAGTGAACTGAAACAAAGTGAACTTACATCATCAAAACTCCAGCGTACTCTCTGAGGAGAACAGCAGCAAAGGAAACAACATGAGGTTTCATAATAAATTCAAACAAACCCAGGTGTCCTGATTAATGTTTCTTAGGATCTTCATGAACAAAAAAAAATGTTTTTCCTCAAGTATTTGGTGTGTTTAAGGGTACTGCTCCACACCAAGGTAAAAAAAAATAAAAAATACCTAAACATAATCAAATATTGGTCCTGAAAAACTAGGCCACTGCTTTTAACTTCATGTAAAACAACTTTGAAATAACACAAATGTTGTCCAGGTGGGAAAAAAGCAATAAGGTTTATTATTTGATATGGAGGCTTAATATAAGATATAAAGGTTTGAGATGAGTTATAGAGGTTTAATATGAACTACGGAGGTTTGATGTGAGCTATTAACAATTATTATTGGCTTTAAATGTTTATTTTTAGTGGTATAATAATGGCAGTAAGTTATTTATCTGTTCTCTAGTCTTTGCACAGTAATATCTTACACCCAACACAAGAGGGAGATACAGCTCCCCACTTCCTGTGGTTATGGTCAATATAAAATCCAGTGGCGGAAAAACTGCACATAAACTTATACCAGAGAGTTTTAAACCCAACTGAACAATAGTTTGATGCTCAGTGGGATGACACAAGTTCACCCACCTGACCTCTTGTATAATGTTCTGCTTTTATCTCTGCTATTTGAATAAATTAGGACAAATGTCTTGTTTTTCCCCCACATCTAAATGTAAACAGAGTTGCGGTCTGATTCAAACGTACCTCTCGTTCCCGATCTGATTTGGAGAGTCTCATCTGTCTGAGCATCTGACATCTCTGCTCCATCATCAGCGTCCTCTCGTAGGTGTATGCACTGATATCACTGTTGTGCTGGACAGAGGAGATTAGATTAGATTATTACTGTACATTAATCTCAGCACTTGTTGATCTTACTGACCAAATACAAAAGATTCTAATTTAATATTTTGTTCAAATCTCCTAGACTGAAATACAAGAAATGTGTTGAAAATTATGAATATACCATCATATGAAAAAGAAAGTTTACTTTCAAATAAACACTGTCGCATAGATTGATATAATAAATACTGTTAAAGAGGAATTTTGGTTTGGAGTGAACCAAAACCTTTATAGTTTATAGCTGCTTGTAAACCATTTTACTGGACAGAATCAAGCAGCCATACAAGTTAATATAACCTGGACATGAGTTTTGGATCCTGCACTCAGTTCAAGATTCAATCAGTTACACATTGACAAAATAGTTTGTGGGTGAAATTTCTCGATTAGCTTAATTTCTACAAACGTACCATCTCCACCACTTCTACTTCAGCTTCGATACGAAGGTGATAGAGGAAGGTCGCCAGATCCTTCTTCATCTGAATGGAATTATCCTCCATCTGGGCCACTGTGAAGATTCTCATCCCACACTTGCGCCACACCTGAGAAGATGCAGACAGGAAATATCGAATCAGACAATCAAGGCAGACTGATCGTAGTTGAATTAAACAAACGTTCCTCTACCTTGTGTTGACGAAGAAGGAAAGGCAGCAGCATCAACATCCCTCCATCATGGACGATCCACCACACGTCGATGTAGCCCTCTGTGCATGGCTCGCTGTTGCTGGGGAACAGGGAGATGTTTTTGGGCACCAGTAAGGCCAAGTGGGCCGCTGTGGTCACGCGCACCGTGTCTGGAAGGAGCAGAGGTGACGCTGTTAACCTGAAGAAACGGTTGTAAAAGAATTAAGAAGTTTGTGTTTGACTCACTGATAAAGGTCTTCCAAGCATGAGGGTCCTCGATTTGCCTCCAGGCCTGAGGCCAGCCCATCACCACAGTATTGGGCTTCATCCCACCAAGGCCGCTGGACTGAATCATGTGACTGATCCCCTCGTGGGGTTTCTGCGCCACGATGCACTGAGTGAAACCCTTCACTCGCTCATGATCCATTTGGTGCTTCAGAGTCTGATGAAGAAAAGCACAAGTCATATCCACCTGAAAGTTTCAATATTCCCTGGCACTCATCCAAAGATCTAAAGTAAATGTAAACCTGTTCAGCAGCCAGAAACTCTCCATAGCTCTTGAGAAAGTTGCCTGGGACGACCGTGCCAACGATGGTCAGGCCTTTGCCAGCCTTCAGCTGGCCGGCAAACGTGAGGAGGCGCGGAGACTTGATGTGGGCATCTTCGTTAAGTTTTAGTAAAACCAGCAGCTGGGGCCTCGAAACAAAAACAAAGAAACTACAATTCAATATGTGACTGTGTTACAGAGATGATGGGCATGAATCGTCCATAAAAAATGTCAGAAACGCAAAACAGTTCCAGATTTGAGGAAATAATTGACACAAAAGCCTTTTTTAATTACTTAATGCAGAGGCCCTCACTGTCCTGCATGCTTCAGCTGCTTCAACACATCTGATTCAAACACTGACTTACCTGCTCAAATGTCATAAAGTTTAGCACAAAGTGAATGACTCGTTCATTTCAGATAGGGAACAGCTAAAACATGCAGGAGAGTGGGCCACAAGAATCAGGGTTGGGGATTTCTGACTTAAAGGGTTAATTCACCATAATTAACGGGTGCAACATGGAATGGGTGGTGGGCAAGGGTGGGGAGTGGGGACCTTGGCGGTCTGATCCTCAGCTACAGAAGCTGGCTCTTGGGACATGGAATGTCACCTCACTGGTGGGGAAGGAGCCTGAGCTGGTGTGTGAGGTTGAGAGGTTCTGGCTAAAAATAGCCAGACTCACCTCTAGTCAAGTCAAGTCAAGTCAGATTTATTTATAGAGCACATTTAAAACAGAAACTGTTACCAAAGTGATAACAAAAATATCACATCATCAAATAAAAAGTAGCAAGATATATTTACAGCACATGGAATAAAAATATAAAACCAAAAACAATTAGAAACAATGAAATACTAAATCAGATCACGTTGTGTCAAAAGTCAAGGAAATAACAAAAAGCATAAACTCAGTCAGAAACAATGAAATACTAAATCAGATCTGATGACCTTGTGTTCAATAGGAATAATAACAAAAGCATAAACAGAATCAGCATCAATGAAAAACTAGATCTAAATCCAATCACCCTGTGTTAAATGTCAATGAGTATAGGTGTGTTTTTAGGAGAGATTTAAAAGCAGAGACTGAGGTGGCCTGTCGAATGTTGATGGGCAGATTGTTCCAAAGTTTAGGGCCCACGACTGAAAACGCTCAATCTCCTCAGAGCTTCAGCCTGGTTTTTGGTACGGCCAAAAGCAGCTGGTCTGATGATCTCAAAGCCCGAGAAGGAGCATAAGGATGAAGAAGGTCAGAGAGGTATGATGGTGCGAGGTCGTTAATGCACTTGAATGTCAGCAGGAGAATTTTAAAATCAACTCTGACACATACAGGAAGCCAGTGAAGAGAGGACAGAACCGGAGTAATGTGCTCAAACCTGCGAGTTCCTGTTAGTAGCCGAGCTGCAGCATTTTGTACGAGCTGGAGACGTGAAAGTGAAGCCTGACTAACCCCAACATAAAGCGAGTTACAGTAGTCCAGCCGGGTTGTAATAAATGCATGGACTAGTTTTTCAAGGTCGGATCTGGACAGAACGGACTTAAGCTTTGCTATTTGCCTTAGCTGAAAGAAGCTTTTTTTGTAGAACAGAGTTGATTTGTTTATTAAACTTAAAGTCCGAGTCTAACACTACCCCGAGATTGGTAACCGACTGCTTTAGATGTGGCTGAAGGGATTGCAGGTTTACAGGATCAGTGACAGTGGCAGAGCTTGGGTTAAACACAATGACCTCAGTCTTCTGATCATTAAAACTCAAGAAGCTTGCAGCCATCCAAGTCTTGATGTCATCAAGACATTTTAGCAAAGGGTGGATGGAGCAAGAACTGTTTGGTTTTAAAGGCAGATAGATCTGAGAATCATCGGCGTAACAGTGAAACGAAATACCATGTTTCCTCAGGATTGACCCCAAGGGGAGCAGATACAATGAGAACAGAAGGGGTCCAAGAATGGAGCCTTGTGGGACCCCACAGGAAAGAGGGACAGAAGCAGAAAAATGATTTTCAAAGTTAACACAGAAACTCCTGTCACCCAGGTACGAATGGAACCATTCTAGCGCCACCCCTGTAATCCCAACCCAGTGTTCTAGCCGTGACATAAGGATGCTGTGATCAACAGTGTCAAATGCAGCGGTAAGTCGAGGAGTACTAGGATCACAGACTGACCAGAGTCATTTGCTAGCAGAATGTCATTACAGACCCTTACTAAAGCTGTCTCTGTGCTGTGCAGTTGTTTAAATCCTGACTGAAACACTCTGGCTCTGGAACCAGTTTCCTTGAGAGGGGTTGGACACTCTTCCACTCTGGAGTTGCCCCTGGTGAGAGGCGCCGAGCAGGAGTGGGCATACTTGTTGCCCCCCTTCTTGGTGCCTGCACGTTGGGGTTCACCCCGGTTGAACTAGAGGGTAGCCTCCCCCCGCCTACGTGTGGGGGGGATGGGTTCTGACTTTTGTTTGTGCTTATACTTCAAATGACAGTTCAGATTACCCACCCTTTTTGGAGTCCTTGGAGGGGGTACTTGAGAGTGCACCTCCCGGGGACTCCCTTGTTCTGCTGGGGGACTTCAACGTTCACGTGGGCAATGACAGTGAGACCTGGAGGGGTGTGGTTGGGAGGAACGCCCCCCCGATCTGAACCCGAGTGGTGTTCTGTTGTTGGACTTCTGTGCTCGTCATGGATTGTCTATAACAAACATCATGTTCAAGCATAAGGGTGTCCTTGTGCCAAGAGCACATATGGCTGCAGTTCGATGATCAACTTTGTTGTCGTCTCATCTGATCTGCGGCTGCATGTCTTGGACACTTGGGTGAAGAGAGAAGCAGAGCTGTCCACTGACCACTACCTGGTCAGTGGTGAGTTGGCTCCGATGGTGGGGGAGGATGCCGGTCAGACTTGGCAGGTCCAAACGTATCGTGAGGGTCTGCTGGGAACGTCTGGCAGAGTCTCCCGTGAAACGGAGCTTTAACTCCCACCTCCAGAAGAGCTTCAAACATGTTCCAGGGGAGGTGGGGGACATGGAGTCTGAGTGGGCCATGTTCCACGCCTCTATTGAAGAGGCTGCTTATCGGAGCTGTGGCCGCAAGGTTGTTGGTGCCTGTCGCAGCGGCAACCCTCGAACCCGGTGATGAACACTGGCAATGAGGGATGCTGTCAGGCTGAAGAAGGAGTTCTCTTGAGCCTTTTTGGCCTGTGGGACCCCAGAAGCAGCTGATGGGTACCGGCAGTCCAAGCGACATGCGGCTCAGGTGGTCATTGACGCAAAAACTCGGGTGTGGGAGGAGTTCGAGAGGCCGTGGAGAATGACTTCCATACAGCTTAGAGGCGACTCTGGTCCATCATTCGGCGTCTCGGGGGGGAAAGCGGTACACCACCAACAAAGTTTATAGTGGAGGTGGTGTGCTGCTGACCTCAACTTCGGACGTCGTGGGTTGGAGGGTAGAATACTTTGAAGACCTCCTCAATCCCAACAGCACGTCTTCCACAGAGGAAGCGGAGCCTGAGGACTTTGGGTCGAGCTCTCCAATCTCTGGTGCTAAGGTCAACGAGGTGGTTAAAAAGCTCCTCGGTGGCAGGGCCCCAGGGGTGGATGAGATTCGCCCCGAGTTCCTTAATGCTCTGGATGTTGTAGGGTTGTGTTGGCTTACACAACTCTGCAATGTTGCGCGGACATAGAGGGAAGTTCCCCTGGATTGGCAGACCGGGGTGGTGGTTGCCCTATTCAAAAAGGGGGACCGTAGAGTGTGTTCCAACTACAGGGGGATCACGCTCTTAAGCCTCCCTGGTAAGGTCTATTCAGGGGTTCTGGAGTATCGAACCTTGGATTCAGGAGGAGCAGTGTTTTTTGTCCTGGTCGTGGAACGCTGGACCAGCTCTACACTCTCAGCAGGGTCCTGGAGGGTGCGTGGGAGTTTGCCCAACCAGTCGACATGAGCTTTGTGGACTTGGAGAATAGGGGTATAACTATACATTGATTTAAATCGATATATCGATTAAATGATTAATGATTAAATTATATTGTTGCAAAACTAAAACATCGATTCATATCGTCATCTTTAAAATATGCTTTTATTTTGAAATTCCCAAGGCACGTCTGTGGCACCATTTACGTGCGCGGCTGCGCTCTGCGGCCACCTCAGCAACATGGTAAAAAAGGCAGAAAACACAGATAATGAAATTCACTCTTCTGCTGGATTTAATCATCCATCCATTATCTTTTTACCCGCTTCTTTCATATTGGGTCACGGGGGTCGCTGGTGCCCATGTCCAGCAATCACTGTGCAAGGGGCGAGGTACACTCTGGACAGGTCACAAGTCCATCACAGGGCCACATGGAGACAAACGAGACAAACAACCATTCACTCTCCCACTCACACCTAGGGACAATTTAGAGTCACCAATCAGCCTAACATGCATGTTTTTGGTCTGTGGGAGGAAACCAGAGTACCCGGAGAAAACCCACGCATGCATGGAGAGAACATGCAAACTCAACCCAGAAAGGCCCCTGGACCAGGGTTTGAACCAAGGACCTGCTCACTGAGAGGCAGCAGCTCTACCAGTTGTGCCACCTTGCTGCCCGGATTTAAATAAACACTGGGGAAATATTTTTGATTCCAACAGAAGGACGGCTCAACAGACAAAAGTCATGCCGTATGCAACAGGTGCCAGGGTGAGTTAAAATACTCGGGAAACAATTAATTTGGCCGTTCACCTGAAGAAGAAACACGGCATTGATAGCCATCTTATGTAAGCTCAATATCTATATTTGTTTCTTGATAACTGAAAAGTAATCAGGGCACTTTTAAGTTAACTGGTTTAAAAAATGCACTTAAACATGAGAAATGTGAGACTGTACTGAACAAGTCATTTATTTTAATTTTTTCATTATTATAAAAAAAATGATTTTTTATTTAAATGCCTGGTGCCTGTAATAGAAATAAAATGGTTAAATCATATTTGAATTGTTTTTGTAAATTTATATGTAAATGAGATGGGCATTTGATATCGCAATATATCAATCGCAGACTTGTGAATCGAATAGAATCGAAATTGTATCGCGACAGACTTTGTGACATCAAGAAAAATCGTATTGTCATACGAACAAATCAATATAATATCGTATCGTGGAAAAGCTGGTGATTTACACCCCTACTGGAAAAGGCGTTTGACCGTGTCCCTCGGGGAACCCTGTGGGGGGTACTACGGGAGTATGAGGTACTTTGATACAGGCTGTTAGGTCCCTGTATGACCGGTGTCAGAGCTTGGTCCACATTGCCGGCAGTAAGTCAGGCTCATTCCCGGTGAGAGTTGGACTCTGCCAAAGTTGCCCTTTGTCACCGATTCTGTTCATAACTTTTATGGATAGAATTTCTAGGCACAACCAATGTGTTGAGGGGATCCGTTTAGGTGGCATTAGGATCACGTCTCTGCTTTTTGCATATGATGCAGTCCTATTAGCTTCATCAAGTCATGATCTACAGCATTTGCTGGAGCAGTTCACAGCCAAGTGTGAAGGGACCAGGATCAGTGCCTCCAAATCCGAGGCCATGGTCTTGAGCCGGAAAAGGGTAGGGGAGGAGGTCCTGCCCCAAATGGAGGAGTTTAAGTATATCGGGGTCTTGTTCACAAATGAGGGAAAAATGGAGTGAGAGATCGATAGGCGGATAGGTGCAGTGTCTGCAGTGAAGTGGGCGCTGTACCGGTCTGTCGTGGTGAAGAGAGAGCTGAGTCAAAAGGTGAAGTTCTCAATTTACCGGTCGATCTACGTTCCTACCCTCATCTATGGTCATGAGCTTTGGGTTGTGACCGAAAGAACGAGATCATAGATACAAGTGGCTGAAATGCGTTTTCTCCGCAGGGTGTCTGGGCTCTCCCTTAGAGATAGGGTGAGAAGCTCGGTTATCCGGGAGGGACTCAGAGTAGAGCCGCTGCTTCTCCACGTCGAAAGGAGCCAATTGAGATGGCTCGGCATCTGGTTAGGATGCCTCCTGGACGCCTCCCTGGTGAGGTGTTCCGGACACGTCCCACCGGGAGGAGACCCAGAGGAAGACCCAGGACACGCTGGAGGGACTATGTTTCTCGGCTGGCCTGGGAACGCCTTGGGATTCCCCCAGAGGAGCTGGCCCAAGTGGGTGGGGAGAGGGAAGTCTGGGTCTCCCTACTTGGCTGCTACCCCCCGCGACCCGACCCCGGATAAGTGGAAGAAAATGGATGGATGGATGGATGAAGGGTTATTTCAGATCTTTTAAGTAGGATCTAACCAATAAATATCTTACTTGTACATAGCTCTTTGAACAACCAGAGTTTAGAAAAAAAATATATAACTGACTGGACTGATGAGTTAAAGGCTAGTCTGGGAGAGCCAAGACCCAAGTGGATTGTTGCTGTCTCAAAACTAGTGTATGGCAGTGATGTCTTAATAGTGGAAGTATAGAATAAATGGGCTACTATGAGACTTAATTATTAGGAGAATGTGCAACCGTCACAACTATCATTTTCATAAACGTGCACCTGGTGGTGACACATAACTTCTTTCCCAACAGTGTTATTTTAGTCTGGAAGCTTCTGTTAATAAAACACCACCTACTGTCCACCCCACTTACCAAAATTTAAAAAAAGACTGAGCAGTGACAAGACCAGTGTCTGTTTCTACCATCACAGTTTATTTTGAAAGGATTGTGAAGTGCACACAGAGGACACAGGTAAGTTCAACTTTATGTCAGAATATGTGCACTCCCCTTAAATGTTCATTAAAAAATTGTGTTTTAGCTTGAAATGCCCATCAAAACATATCAATTCTATTTTTTATAGTACATCCATCAAATATCCACCAGTCAACATTTGATTTATTCCTTAAATGTACCTAAATTGAACCAAGTTCATTAGATAACGTTACATTTAAGAAATCCTTAAAGTGCTCATACCTCCAGTTCTTAATGTGCGGTGGTCCTTCCTCCAACCTTAAGAGGGCATAACGGGCCGCACTGAGTGACAGACCACGGATCCCATCCCCCCACTCCTTTTCAGCTCTGATACACACACAAGTACAAAAATATATATAAAGGAAAGCTATTTGAGCTGAAAACCCAGAAAAAAACAATCGACTGATTTATATTGAGAATAAAATAATTTTTGAAAACAAAAAACATTGATGACACTGTACATGAGTCATCATTCCTTAGGATGAGGAAATATGTCTCCATGGCAACACACCCATGATATTCAATGTATTTGTAGATCATGCCAGCGATCACCATGGCAACAATTGCGTAGTACCAAGAAGATATGAACATGAGAGCCAGGCAAATCGACATCCCCAAAAACGACAAGGACCTGGACAGAAGAGGGCACTAAAGTTTACATCAATGTTTGTGTTTAGGAGTGTGTATGTGTGTGTGCGCGTGTGTGTGTTTGTACCAGTGGTAATAGGAGAAGCGTGGCCTCCAGTTAGGAGTCCTGAGCAGGGTCTGCAAGGCACAGGCCAGGTTCACAAACAGGTAACACATCAGGAAGAACCTAAAGACACAGAATTAAAGCTGAATCCATCGGGGAGAAACAGATAGTATGCACACATGCACGCACACACACAAAGTTGTGTCTCACATTGTCAGGATGGGTGCAACCATGTCCAGAGAGGCAATGAGAATCCCCAACTCTGCAATTAGTGCTGTAAGCAGTAGAGCCCAGGTGGGTTCCCCATTAGCTTTGCCATGACCAAACACCTGTAAAAACACAAACACGTACACAAATACTGATACTGAGGGGAAAAAAGTGAAACAAAGTGAAAATGCATCTAACGTTCAATTAAATTAATACACATGTTAAATCCCAGATGAATAAAACATTCCACCCATTCAGATTGCTATTTGTTTTTTAATTTACCTCTGTTGGATCCAGGACAGTGGACCCATACTGAGAGATTGTTTTGATCGAACAGACTGGCAGGTTTTCAGAGAAGCTGCTGAAAATGGAGGTTCGCTTGATCTTGACCAATACACATCCTCAGTACTGGGTTACATTAGTACATGTACTGACAC